TTATTCATCCATCTTCAGCACAACACGCCATCTGGTGTGGCATAAAGAATCAATGTGATACTTCACCTGCTTTTAAGGATAGGGCAGGGTGGGTGTGAATAAGGAAGGTAATGCGTGGTTTGTATACCGTAGCAAATGACGCAGAATTAGATCCTCCAAAGTACGAGAGGAAACTCATGAGACTGCACATACCTTGCTGACCGCAGGACGAAAACGGAGAGGGGTTTTAGACGTATCGCCTAGGCTGACTCCTAGATCGTTTTTAGTGTTTGGGTGAGAGCTCCTTGTTTTCCTCAGAGAGTGAAAACTAGAGTTGCACCTATTTTTGTCTTCAATCCCCATCCTATACTTCTCAGAGTTGTGACAGCGGGTTTTCACCAGTCCGCCTTATGATTTTAGAAGGGTCCTTGCTGTATTTCCGTACAAACCTTGCGATCATCAATAAATAGCACTGAGTAAGAAGTTAGGCTTGCTGGTAAGTCATTTGCAAAAGGCAGGAACAGTAGTGGACTAATAATGGAACCCCACTCAGCATCGGAGGCCATTAAGATAAGAAGCAGCTCGCTCTAACTGTTAGAGCAACCTCCGAACAAACTATTTAATCTCTCCTGTAGACCGATAGGCCGAAGTTTCTTACGCAGCTTATCATGAATAACCGCGTAGAAGGCCTCTGAAAAGTAAAGTAACTCAACATGTATGGGCTTCTTCTCATCAACATAAGAATCCTAAGTACTCCATGCACGCAACAGGTTGATTTTACTTGACCTTTCAGGTAAAAATCCGCGTTGATGGCCGGTTGAGATCGAGTCCATTGGTAACGGACCAAGTAATGAGGTATTTACTACTCGGCCCATAACTTCCACAACTTAAAGTACCATAGAGAATGGTTTATAGTTGGAGACAAGTAGTTTATTTCTACTTTTAAATACTGGGAAGATAGTAATCTATCATCATTCAGAGGACAGCATACGTTCTACAAAGAAATGTCTAGGGGGGCCTGACAGTGGGATAGATAGAGTACTGACACACTGTTTGGGTGCTATCGGGAGAACACTTTCGACCCCTGAGGATTCATGAAGACAAGGGCTCCCCATGACACCCTTGATTTCGATGCTAAAATTCTGAGAAGCTTAACGCCCCTGCACTTTAAGTGCCAACCCAGTGTTCGACTGTCGCTTTCAATTGACAGAAACAGTCTTGAAATTCTTCAGCTACCAAGTTGGCCACATCTCAGGTATTGTGGTGAGTCAATGAGCTACTGGGGTCCTGTACATTATAGCTAGAGAAAGCGAAAATGCAACATAGTAGTCCGAAGTTTAAGTATTTAAGGATCTTGGTAAATTTTTTTTCAAGAGTATCTCGCTGCTGAATAATCTACAGTGGCTTCACAAAAAGACCTAGAGGCCCAATTATTTTACTGATTTCACGCATGCACTCAATGTTTCTAAGAAATGTGAATGGCTACCTGCGTGATTTGCCACCTCATAAAGTATTAGTTCGCCCCAGTAAAATATCGAAGCGCGAACAACAAACTCTCAGGCATATATGGACACCGCCAATCAAAATGTGTCAAAGAACCTTTGCTTCTTGCTTCTGATCTTTTTTACATTGAAGTTGCTTTGTAGACAAATTTAATGGCACTGAGTTCACACTGATAGGAGTCAACTTCGGCTTTCTTTCCAAGACTTTCAGATACCTTAGGGTCGTTTTCGAGAATAACATAAGTAGCATTTCCACTTAGGAGTTTCGAGGGCCTGCCGAACAAGTCTAACGATGCGTGGGAGTGAAATTCATCATAAAGCTCTTTACCCCTTTGAAAAGCCTCTTGTTAATATAACGACCTACTTCTCCCAGACAAGCTTATCAACTTGTGGAAGCACGTTTCTGCTTACCGCAAGCATATGACATCCTCTGTATTTCTGGACTGTTGAAGACAAAAGAACGACTGCAGAACCGTCTATCACGAAAGAATTTCAACTGCGAACTTGGTCAACATCATGCAAGGAGCATCAGGAGCATAAGGTTCATGGGCATCATTCTATATGCGTGGAAAATGAGGGTACGCTCATCTGCATGTAATACTTAGGTTCCTGCGCATTTGGCAGGAAGTGGTTGGCGAGTTGGTAAACAGGTGAGATGTGAAGTAAGATGTCTGAAATAAATTTGACGGCTATTAAGTGTCGGAAGCCACCGTTTCAAGGCAGACTAAACTTGTAATCCTAGTGGAATTTTGCTGCTCTACCCTCTTTTTTGAATTCCTGTTGTGAGATGAATCTTAAGCTTGCGATCTGAAGTGCAATTTATGTGGGGTAGAAATCGTGAAGCTAACAGTCAAAACAAGGAGGATTGTTCTTCGCCGGCCTAATATTTCCTTCGTTCATCCTCCTTTCCAATCCCGACTGAAAACTCTCATTTGTAACCAAGGCTTCATTTAGCACTTGGTGACTTACAGAAAGGTTCAAGAAGCTGCTCCTTGGGTGGCGCATCTCGACAAAGATCAAAGATATTCACGTGCGACGTTTGAAGCTAGATGGTACTCCTAATGTAAGCCTCTTGACACTAGGCACATTTGGCTCTTCAGCCGTCTTCTGATGGGTGGGTAGTGTGGTATATTCATTTAAGCGATGAGCAATGACTGTATTCACAATTCAAGAATGCCCTCAAACAGTGCCAATGACCGGGCACGTTGTTTTCGAAGGAATGAAGGGTACCCTCCACACCAACTGGTTATCCCTGGTGAGCTATGATGAACGCACAGGAGCGGCTGGGGTAGAAGTCATTCGTGAAAACCAGTTGATACAGTGAGCAACTGAAAAAGATAATGGGTATATTATTTGTACATTTCACTTGGAACTGGTTGTTGCATGCTTCATAACCCTGCCAGGTTTACCAAGTTTGAAACCCAACAAGATGGCCGAATTATGTTTCCAGGTCTACCAACACAAAATTACACCCTGCTATTTTCCCCATGCCTAAGGCTCCAAAAATACTTCTTTGCTACACTAGGACAAAAGCGAGTAGTTGGTAAGGTTAGGAAGTAGGACGTTTTAGGTTCATACCGACGTGATCCAGGCTGCTTTTTCTGAGTCCTGTACGCGCTCCTCGATGATTACCCCGGGTGTGGGTGGGGTCTCCTCAGGATTATTTGAATCTTAACATTTTAATGGCCACCTTTTACTCTCTTTAATTGTGCACAGGTTAATAGCTAAAAAAGTAGCGATCCACGGATTCTAGATCCAGAATCCAACTGCTGCTTACGCTAATAAAAGGTGCCCGAAGTCTATGGGCTATTGATCATTTCAACGTCTGAATCAATCCAATACAACAAATATTCTCGGTGGAATTGATTTCTATTACCTTTAAACGTAACATGGTGACCTGGAAATGCATTGATATGGCCGTACACGTTGGTAATTTAACTATGGATACTTTATTGATACTTCAGACTGTGTGAATGGGTCCTTTGTGGTTAGCAAAACTAAAAACTGGGGGTCACTCTAAGGAATAAACTGCTATATTACTAATTAGCAGACTATACGACTAACGTTGGTTGGCCATGACGCTAACTTTAAGCACTGCGCGCTTTTGATATTGATAGTGGAACCTGTCGGTGTGATGCAAATGAAAATTCGAGCCCGTCTCATGAATTGCAGAGAGTTCTAATAACATCATGCACACCGGTGACTTGATACTTGAATCGTTCAATACTAACTGCCATTTAGTAAACTTTCAAAAATTATGAATTTTACGGTGCTTGTAAGCTAGTATCCCTCACGTTAAACCCATAATGTGAGGATAGTATTTATTATTATCTAAACTTCAACACTCTGTATACGCTGAAAAGTAATATTTCCTAGCTCGTTTCATAACAAGCAGGATCTTCGGCTGTTTTTAATAGAGTTTAATGACATTCCGTCTGAACCACTCAGGACTCGTAAGTCTTGTAGATATTTTGGGATGTATAAACGTGATGAGGCCCGTAAACTGGCTTCTTTCATATCAAACCTTTTTAGTGTGAGAATAAAACATTTAAACTAAGCAGAAGCTTCTATTTCGCCAACAGCCTTTTGAACCACCATTTGAACATCAAAGAAGTATGACCATACAGAATGATCAAAACCTTTAACCCGTGCATAAGGGTCGAAATTTTTTGATTATCTTTATACACCTAAAGGATATTTAACTTATGGGAAAGAAATTATAGCTGGAGCACAGACTAAACTGAAGCCCTATGTTCCACTAGGAACCCAAGGGACTAATAATAAAATAATAATACAGACTAAACAGAAGAAATCAAGTAATGTCAGCCACCCCAACTATTTTAACTCTAAAACCAGTTTTCTTTCTATTGTAACCATTTGGGCCCTTTTCGCCCCTTCCACTTGCCATGAGTTAGCCTCACTTACCTAAGTTCTTCATATCTTTGCACCCTTCCTCGCCCTACTTGTGTGTAAGTAGATCAATCCATTAGTTCACTTTTCCTTTTCCCTTTAACCCACACAAATTCACCTTTCTAGGTCTCATCTCCACTACCCCTAACCCTCTCTAGCGACCAATCTGAACAACTGTCTGGCGACTTGACATCTGAAGAACCCAATTGCACCACACCCGAAGGCAAACCAACCAACACTTAACTTTCTGTTCTGTAAATTAGAGCGATAGCAGACGAGTGGCTGGATCTACTGCATCGGAATCCGCCAAAGACCCAAAACTGTTCCACAACACCTAGAAGCGAGCAAGAATAAACCAACTGGTTTACACAAGCTCGTTAAAAAGATATCGGATATTGAAGTAATGCGAGTGTTTGATAGCGTACGAAAGCCAGGCCAGTCTGCAAGAAATATGAAGGACTTCGTTTTATTTTGCGTATTATAAAGTAGTACTAGTTTGGTTTTGGGCCTTTTTCAATGATGCCATTCTGCATAGAAATTTAAGCATCTGGATTGACCTTGATGAACAATGGTTTATAGATCACCTGCGTTTATATACGCTTGAAAAGTACAACCTTTCAACTTGGAGCAATGAGTACCTGCGTACGGTCGACGAGAAAGTTTCTCATCAGCCTTGGAAGGAAGAAGACTTTTTCCGGTGAAAAATGTGCTAAAAATGAATTAAAAAGATGCCTAACTGTGTATGATCTGACTGCTCTTGGTAACAAACGTAATGTTTAATGAAAACTTCACATCAGGTGTTGGAACAACCCTTGGGGCTGGAGTATATATTCTTGTCGGAGATGTTGCCAGAACCACAGCGGGACCTGGAGTCATACTGTCCTTCTTAGTGGCTGCAGTAGCTTCAATTTTGTCAGGTAGCTTTTTGAGTACTTCTTTGATTTCATAATCAGAGAAATACATAATTCTTAGTTTATCACTGCTATATTCTTTGTTTGGTGATAGTTTCGAAATCCGTTAAACATCCTGGTAGCTCAGTCTTATTGTCTTTATTATGGTAAGTCGAATAGTTTTAGGTTAGCTACTCATTACGTATACGTAATGAGGCTAAAGCTCCCACTTTCAGATTCAGATATTTAGATGTATAGTACAACTATAAATGGTCATGAGGTTAGGACAATAACTTTTCAGAAGATATCTTTGCTTGTTCAGTTCTTTTTTGAACCAGTCGACTGATGATGCTTGCACCACTTTACTGGGAATCTGTTTCAAGAGTTGATTACTCTGCACCTGAACCAGCACTTTACGGAAACGACGTTCTTCTTTTGCTTTTGTATTATCCTGCTATATCATCTGATGTAACCTGATCTAGCGGAAGAAAGAGAGAAGGCAACCCATATCTGAAGTCATTTCTTAAAATCCTGTGTAACACGATTAGATTTTCCATGTAAATAAGCGTCCCCAGCCACTGATCGCTATCGTCTCAGGAATCCCAGCTAGGTAGTCTACATCTCGCATGCCTCAGACTAACAGTCAGATACTTCATGCATTTGTAGCACGTCTTCTTTTAACCGTCCTGAACCCTCTTTCAGCTTAGTCCAACTTCCATTAGCATGGCACGTTGAGGTAGGTGATGGCTTTACATGGCTCGACATGTTTGAACCGTCTTAGCCGATAAAGGCTCACATCCTCCTCAGTCGACTTGCCTGTCTTGCTTAGTGCTCTTCGCCTGACCTTAACATCGCTCATACGGTGGTTTCACCAAACGTGAGCGATGCTACGGAGACACCTATGACCAAACACCTGTAACCTCCTCATGTTTTCTACTTTTACCGGCAATGTCTCACAACTGTTTGACGGGACAGGACGTAATGTAGCGCAGTATAGTCGTCCCTTGATGGACAGTCGGATATCTCGCCAATCGGTGCCAAAGGTGATGCAAGTTGGCGAGTGTCAAACGGGACTTCTGTATCAGATCTGAGATTTCGTCAGTAACCAGCCCGTTCGAGCTAATGCAACTCTTCAAGTAAGTGAAGTGGTCGACACATCCCATCACTCCACTTCCTATCATTAAACTGGGAGTAGTTGCAGAACACCAGTCCTGGAGTATAATTTTACATTTGACAGATGTCAGCAAGACGCATGCTAAACATAGGCAGATTTTACCTCAACGCTTTCACAAGATCATGCATTTTGTCAGCGTTTTCAGCTGGCAGGACATTACCATTTACATACTCCAAGTCACTCAGATTACCTCTAGGGAGTAGGTCACTCCCTGTGAAGTAAGGCGTGCTCAAGGTTATGTCCACTAGTATGTCTATGACGAAGTTAAATATGAACGATAACAGTGGGAAACCCTGGTGGACACTACTAAATGCCGTCAATTCGGAAGACAACTCTCCATAAGCCCCGACATGGCTGCATGAGTTCGAGTAGAGAGCTTCAATAAGCATTACATACTTCCTCGGTATTCCCTTCACAGTCAGACGCTGCCACAGAACCTCATGGTCAACAGAGTCGAGTGATACCTTCCGGTAGAAAAATATGACAAGTGTCGACCACTGGCCGATAAGTATGCCTATGTTCCAGAAACTGTCAAAACCTGAAAATATGATTCATGCGCCCTCGTCCAAGTCTGAAACTGGCCTAGATTTCCGGAGTTTATTGTTATCTAGCTCCAGTTAAGCGCCAGATGTCTATGGGTCCTAGGATCTTGGACCCAATATTTGTCAAACTAATTCTCCTGTGGTTATCACGGAAAGACTTCTCTCCACTCTTACAGACTGGGATGACCAGCTAAGTACAGTCATCTGATGACACTACCTCTGATTCACATACACTACCTATTACCTCCGTCACTTTTATCAGAAACTTCTTACCTCTGTCCTTAAACTTTTGGGTGGCAAACTATCAGGACCTTCTTCTTTGCATCGTTTCAGTTTCTATACAGCCTTCCCAATTGCAAGGAGGACTAGAAGATCAACATCTACGTCCCATTCAGGTTCACAATGGGTTTTGGGCAACTCGGGCGTTGCTGGGGGCCAGTCGAACCGCGCTTCAGAGTGTTACATGCAAAGTTTCAACCACCTGTCCCGAGCCGTTATGAGCATCCCATTTTTCCTACTGATGGTTTTCCTAACCATCGTTTTCTTCTTGCCGGTATTCCCAATGAGCCTTAATAGTTACTGGGCGTAGCCTATCGCTGATTTTTTTCTATCGCTCTTGCTTTCACCACTCACCACTGCTAGCGATCATTGTAAAAACTGTCGGTCAATTTAAGTGTAAGTTGCTACCGCCCTCCACTGTGCTTATAGCCAGCTGAAATGAATCTTCTGGCATCAACCAATTCGAATGACGTTGCGGAAATCCAGTGACGTTTGCTAACGTTTGGACGTAGGTTACCCATTGTCCTTACCCCCTATTTCTATAGTGGAATTTATATCTCCCCAGATTTCTTCAGGATCAGCATTACTGTCTTATTAAGTTAAGTCGTTGGCTAACTCCTTCCTAAATAAGTATTTGGCATCCTCGTCTTCTAATCTAACATAGACAGACTTTACTGTCGCCTGTTTCCTACCACCAGTAAGACACAGATACACACCAGCCCGTGTTAACGCGTGATCGGAGTCCAAAGAGGTTCTTCAGGAAGAGCGGTACCCTTCCATTGGTCTTCTCCAACGATGGCTTGTAGAAATATGACTTATCTGTATGAACCGTCGGTTTGATGTCAATAGACACCATGCGAGATAATGTCTCACAAGTCTACTAACTCGCTGAGTCAATACGGTATGCCAGTAAAAATACCCTTCATGCTAAAAAAGCTAGACTTTCTCAAAAACACAGGGTTGTTTTAGTACCTTCCCAGGTATCAAGGCAATAATAATCCTAAAAGTATTCGAAGCCAACATTATGTGAAATTAAGTTGACTATTTTTAGACAACTAAGATAGCTTTTAACTCGTTAAACATAAAACATCACAAATTTTAAATAAATGTCAAACTGCAGTTATTTATTTCCCATTTTTGTTAAAAAAAGAATTATTGTCGAGATGTTTAACTATAGCTTAAGAACACATTGATGTATAGAGTGTTAGTTTAAGCCATGCCTGTTTCTACTTTTTACCTTTTTGTTTGTTTCATAAATCTCACCAAATTAATTAAAAAGGCAGTGAGTAACCTATCATATCTAAATGTTTATCTAGTAAACATTATTATACATTATAAAACATCGAGATCACAGTTTTGACGAATATCCTGGAAAAAATTGAGCACACAGTTGGATTGAACGGTTATTATTATATATTTTGGTATAATTATGACTGCTATATATCGCAAACCTTTATTCGACTACATGGACCTTGATAAAATATTTTGTCATACCTCTTTTCTGCTAATCTGTTCTTAGAAATCAAGTACTAGTATCAGTCAGCGTACAACGCACATAACTCACAACTTATTTTGGATTTATTATTCGTCAGATGTTTATATATATATATATATATATATATATATATATATGTATTCCTGATCTGTTTATATCAAAATGACTGGAGTTGACATAAAGAAACCTTCACGTACATAGAGCGCCTGTAGGCATACAGAAAGGTGGTAATGCAGTAAATACTTTTTTGCCCATTACAAAATCCTAGTTCTGTCAGTCATATGTTAGCAAAAACGGTTTTAGATAGCAGTCCAGTTTATTCTGATCATTTTTTAGAAAATTAAGAGCTTGAACTTCTGGGGGATCCATCAAGTTTAATTTATAGAACTCAGTTAACACATTTACGTTTATTTCCTGGAATCTTAGTAGCATATTTCCTATTACAGCTCACAATATGTTCATCTGACTTTATGCAAGCACATAACTTTGGTTTCAGCATGTTATACAAGTATAATGTTTGAGTAGCTAGAAAAAAGTCCTTGACTAACTAGACTAAGTATGCAGATGCAGATAATATGACTTAATCCTTGAATTCGGAAAATAATACTCCTTATGAGTTTGACACTGACCGTTTAAGCAGCCACTAATTAAAATTAGATGGCTTTTATGCATTCTCATTGTTATATTTTTAAGTACAGTTCACATGTGATTTCAATAAAGCATTTTTGAGATTTACAATTTTGAAATACTAAAAATGAAATAGCTAGTCATTGAAACATGAGCTCAATTTTACTCATCGCTAACAGATGTATCCAAAGATTGTTAGTGTCCATGATTTTTTCACTATATTTATTTATCATCATTATTTATTGAAAACAAATAAAATCAGAAATCCACCTATTCTTGTGACTATTGTCTAATAAACGATAAAAAATAATCAAATAATGATGAACGAAATGACACGTTTGAATATTTTAGAAGATTAAAAACTATGTGATACAACGTAATGTGTATAATGGTGATGATGAATTCAGCATTTGACTGACAGAATGTTAACAAAAATGTCAGCCATTAATTAAACAAAACATTTTGTATTCAAAAGGGATTATTATTATTATTTGTATCAGCCTTCGTTTATTTGCAAGTCACATGAAGATTAGTTATCTATTTCAACAACCTAAATTAAAAGTATTCGCGATAAACATTGATCCTTTCTGATAATGATTCCTACTAAAGCAAATATTGACTGAACCCTCAATGGAAACTGGCACTTACAGCTAAAAGTATAACCTGGATTACTTTTGCAGTAACCAGCGAGTGTACTTAATCCAATCTTACAGAAGATTAAGTGCAGGCGAACAGCTCAGTGATAAACTCTGATTATAGAATTGGATGATGTTGGTTCTTTTTTTGTATGAATAAAATACTCTTATCTGATAAACACTAATAGGTACGAAGTGTTGCTTTCTGTTGATTGTCTCCTAACACCCAAGAAATATCACATATAAGACAATTACTTTTAACTCTTCTAAGAAACTGGAATTCTCTAAAGGTTTTTCGCGAATCTGGTTTATGTTTTACTGTATCAGTTTTGTGAATGAGTGTTCTTCAGGCCGATGAAAATCAATTTCGTAATAGATGCTATGTTTAAACACGGTAGAATAAGAACAGTTTCAAGTAACTGGATGCCTAAAAAAGATAACGATTATACTAAATTTTCCTGGACGGACTAACAATAGTTAATCACTATAAATATCGCAAAGTGAATAAAATACTTTTATTTTAGTACTACCTATAAGTATATTAGTTCACCAGTTTACTAAAACAACACCCACTAATTTTAAAAACTGTAAAGAACCAATGTTTAAAGTGAAAGATTAGCAACCTTAAAACAACCAGTCACATTTACTAAACACAGTTAGGAATGTGTTTATAGAGATTCAATTAAACAATACATGGTAAAGTGTTGATACAAGAAAGTTTTGACCAGGAGTTTTAGTTTATCGAGGTTAGATTAGAGTTGTAGTAAGGTTAACACAATAGTCAGAAAAATAAGAAAATTACACTTGGACATTGACCATGGCAACTATCCTATTGAACAATTCCCAACCAACAAAAAGGTTGGTAAACTACAAGTTTTGGAGACTGAATTTCTGAGATGTGATGTATAAAAATTCTCTAAAGGTCCCAGGAATTCGATCAGTTGTTCAAAGTCTTTGGGAATTCTTTGATTTGGAGTCATTATTCTCATTAACACAAATATTTTCAAATGGCATATATGTTAAGCAAAGCAAAGCCCATATATAAACTGGAGCTTATAATAATCTTTTTTTAAATAAACGATCTAGTCAACTTTTCCCCCATATGATTTTGTTCTTTTGTTTAGTATCACCTTTATCGACTGTCGAGATTATCTACCCCTATTAATTAGATTTGAAAACCGTATCCCGTAACATTCATCTTAGTGACTGGCTGTGGAATCCAAGTCATGTATTTCCACCTATTTTTGGACACGTCAGCTGGATGTACCTGCGCCCCAGTGAGTGATGTTTTTCTCACTGAGACCCCTAAGTGCTGTCCACTAGACCACTGGGGTACGATAGCCACATCCTGTGCAACCGGTATCAGTTGCTGTTTCGATCGTTGTAATTTCCAGTTGCTATAAAAGGCCGAATTGCTCTCCTTCTCTTGGTAGATGGGCTCCAATGCAGGTGTCTCTCAGTGGGAACATCACTCACTAGGAAGTAGGTACATCCGGCTGACGAGTCCCAAATTGAACGAAAAGCGCGTCCTGGATTCCACTCCCGGTCACCAAGATGATATAACGTCATGAATATCTGGCAGGATCAGGACATCCGCGTAGAAGCCTATCTGCTAATAGAGGTTGACCAGTTCAGCCCTATATACCGACTGGAAAACTTACAAGTGGCAAAGCAACAAGCGTATCGCGTTCTTTATTAATTAATTGAGGTTTCGTATGACCCAGTGAAACTGTGACGGTCAAACGGCTGGACTCATATGATAGGAAAATGATGAGTTATGTTACCACCAAAACATATGCAACCGAGAGGAAACTTATACCTCCTTCGAGTCTGAATAGTATTTTTTAAAAAGACTGAGAGGAGAAATATATTGCTTTTCAATTAGGTCTTCGTCTTTCACTCTACACTGATATATATATATATATATATATATATATATATATATATATATATATATATATATATAGGTTTGTAATTCAATCAAAACACCAATTAAGTGGTGGTGGGTGGTTGACAAACAATAATTACATATTTTAAGTTAGTCATGAACATGATAAATTTGAGAAATCAAGATGCAAATAATCTACAGAGTAACCAAGCAGGATTGAAATTGTTAATTATAATAATGTGAAACAGGTTATTCTTAGGCAAACTGCATAATAGATGAAGTAAGTGAAGTGTTTCCTGTCGAGTGATCAATCATAAACAATAATGACTTACGTAAGGAAAAGGAAGTAAATGAATATTAGTAGAACAAGAAGGGAAGAGGTGTGCAAATCAATACTAAAAGTTAAATCAAGTTAATGGCCACAGTAATCCAAGTGGCTGAACAAATTTTCCTTTGAATACAAAGGTCAGGTTTGTCAAGGTGGAATGCGATCGCCTCTGCTACATGAAGCAAGCGAATGCGTAGTCTGTGTGATAGATCACATGATATGCAATGAATAATTCTTTAGTGCTCTCCTAGTACCCACTTGATCTTTAGTGTTACCATTTTTAATCCTGTATTAGTTTGTGGATTTTGTGTATTTTAATCTCTCATACTTGTCATCTTCATGACTTACTTAAAATCTGTAATTATTGTTTCTCAACCCACTCCAATCACTTGGTTGGCATTCTGATTGAATTGTAAACCTATATATTAGTGTAGAGCCAAAGAAATGAACCTAATTGAAAAGGAACATTGTTTCTATCAACAATAAACACAACACACTCAGATTACTAAGTAAACTCTACTACCTAGACAATGAAATTCATTTGCAACTTAAAACTACAACATTCATATTAGCAGTTGTCTATCGGTTTAAAAATATGTAGTAATATGATATCGTATCTGATAATGTGTACATAATTTTGAGAAAATTTTGTACATCATAATATCGTCAATTCTCCATACAGGATAAACTTTAGTGTGGGGTGATATATATATATATATATATATATATATATATATATATATGGTTGGCATAAATATTTATAATAAATGTGTAGCTGTTTTTCCTTTACTTAAATAGTTAAACTTGAACAAACCTATTTTTCGTGATACCATTTCGAGACAAAATGTCTACTACAGGTTTCCTCTTAACATAAATGTAATAATGAATAATTTAATTTTGATTTCTCATAAACACTTTTTATTGTCCTTTATTTGTTTCTACTTAGGACTTTGCTATGCTGAGTTTGGAGCTCGAGTCCCACAAAGTGGTTCAGCTTACATCTACAGTTACATTACTGTCGGAGAAATAATGGCATTTATTATCGGTTGGAACTTAATATTAGAATATATAATTGGTAAGTTGGTTGATTCTAAATTCCTATGAAATATTGACGCTGTATAAATTTGGTTTGATAAATTCACTAAATCTAGTGATCAAAGATCACGATCAGATATTCAAGATTAGTGAATAGCTAATTCTTATCATTCGAATCCTAAATAGAAAAAATCCCCTTACCAATTTGCGGTGTGGTAGCTTTATTTTCGTATTTGATACCTAAATGCATCATCCAGTAATGTGCCACATACACATACGCTTGAATGACATGACTATGAAGTTTGGAAATGACCGAGTAAACAATTATGTCATGAAATTTGGGCCGTGGTGGGATTTGAACCAACAATCACCGAGTTTTCGGCCCAGTCCTCTACCACATGAGCTACGAGACGTGACTGATGACGAGATTTTTATCCTGTTTCAATCATCATCCTGTATCAATACTAGTCTGCCAAACCACGGCTATCTCACATAGTCAGCGTGATAATTACGCAGTTGTTGCAGTCAGAAACAAGGGAACAGTTACACAAGTTGTCACTGAAAGGAGCTTTCATTTTTTGATCCAGAGTCTGTCATAACGTACATTAGAAGAAAAACAGAAATAAAGCGGGGTTATCACTGGCTCCGGTTTTCAGTTTTCAAGTCTTGTAACAAAGGGTTTCTATGATCCTACATGGGTAGTGCTAAAGACATCAAACGGAAAACTTTTATTTTTCAATTCCTTGTCATTAATAAGCTGTTCCAAGTTTTCAATTATTACTTTGAGTTCTCAGATAATAATCCATCTCCAATTTGGTGATCAATGTTCTTCAAGGAGTATTTGACATAATGATGTCTAGTAGACGAGCTGATCAGATTTAATAAAAGAGTAGAATTTTGGCACTATGACTGATTATAATTTTGTTTAATACTGAAACAGTATGATATTGTCTCATTACGTGATAAATTCGAAAGTAACTATAATACTAGTCTGTAGGGTATGTGGGTGATAACTTTAAGCACTGGATCCGGTTACGAACTAGATTTACTTTGGAATTCATCCTTCATTCCCGTACACTGATATCGGGTTATCATTTATGATTAGATCAAAAGAACTAATTAGCAAAAGCATTTTTTTATACCATATTCAAGCTTCTAGACAAGTAATTTTAGTCTAGCGGTTAGTGGAGATTTACTGATTTCAGTTTGTTATTCATCACAGCTCTGATATCACTTGGAAAAACTTGAGAGCATTGCATTAGTAGTTGTCTCTCATTCCCAAATGAATTCTACAATCAATTTCAATGAATTGAATTAGGGTTGGAAATCGTTTCTTTTTAATGAATTCTGCGCATTCACTAGTTAAAAAGTGGTTATTGTTTATTGAAAACACTATTTCTAAGAAATCACATGTGGTTGTGAAATTCCGAAAATTCCAACTGAATAAATTCTGCCACATCTAATTTAGTACTACATACAATAAGATCTTTAAAATGGTAAATTCATTTTTTAAATTGTTCTGTTACTAAAGGATACATTGAACTGATTTCAAATGAAATTATTTAAACTTTTAAGGTACAGCAAGTGTTGCACGTGCTTGGAGTTCTAATTTTGATGGATTACTCAATGGTCAACTGACAGAGTACTTCAGCAGACACATGTCATTGAATCTTCCTGGTTTCGCTGAATATGTTGATCCATTGGCTGTCGCGACAATCATCTTGGTGACAAGTGAGACAGCTTATTTCAACCATACTATAATCTTTACTCTATAAACATGTAAACTAGTTTAACTGCATGGAAGTAAGGGAAGAAGTCCTAGAAATATGTATGTTAAATATATTAAGTTATTCATTTTATTCTGTCAACTACTAAAAAAAGTATTCATTTCTTTTTTGTTAGCATTGGTGATGATTTACCCTTGTTCACACTAAACAACGGTGCATATTCCACATTGCTGCAACTCACACTATTACCAGAGTTTTGGGTGTTAAGCAGACAGTACTTGGCGGTCCCTATATTTTGGTTTTCAAAAAAATCTAATAATTTCTGACAACTATTTTCTATGCATCTATGTTTCATTTGTCTTTGACATTTGTTTAGTGTAACAGATCATGTTTCTCTTCTATTGGATAAAGTGTACCACTGTTACGTGATCCTATATAATTTGACTTGAACTGATCACTTACTCAAGGAAAACTACCTAATATTCAGCGTGAAACTTTCTCACACAATTGTATACAGCTGTAATACTTTAAAAGACATGATGTTACTTCTAAACCTATAAGTTAAGGCTTTCCTAATTACCAGATTACTTTAGTTAAAGATGCAAATCCAGCACTAATCGATATCAAATTACTGAACTCAGTATTCCTTAAGGTTTTAATTTCTCTATCTCTTCAAATCATAACTGAAAACGATGACAAATTTCTAAACAGTTTTACTTTTAGTTTAATAATTCGCAGAAAACATTGGTTCTTTGTTATGATTACAAGTTACGTTTCACTCCTTAAAGTTTCCTGATGGATTTGGGTAACTAGTTAGTGTGGTACATTAGATAGTATGAAGAAATCACATAGATTTTTATTCCATTTGCCCATATAATTGGTCATTTTCTTCCTTATTCCGCCAGTTTCTTCGAAATTGTCAATTTTCTTCATTTTTGTCTTTTAGTTCTTCTTAGTGTTGGTGTAAAAGAATCGACAATGATTAATAATATCTTCACAGTGATCAACTTGTGCGTCATCACTTTTATAATTATAGCCGGTTTGATATATGCCGATATTAATAACTGGAGAGTAAATCCGGCAGATGTAAGCGTTACACGTGTACTCAGTGTAATTTACTTAACACTGAGTTCTGTTGGTTTGCAGTGTAGTATATGGTTTGTATGACCGTTTTTTGTGTAATCATTTCGTATACTTATTCTCACGTTCCAAAAAAGTTCATGTTTTAACATAGATTATATACAAGTATGCGTAAATGAACAAAGAAGATACATATATAGCTTTTTATTCCACTCTATTGCCTTTTAGCCTTCACTTAGGGATTTCAATCACTAGTTTGAAGAACTTTTGCTGTTCATGGAAGTAATTAGCTTGAAGACAGTACTAAGAAACAAATTAGAATTGGAGAATCACTAGAAAAAAAGAAGCAGTGGAGAGATACTTTGTCCTATTCAAAAAATCCCTAGAGGGGCCCATAAACATTGCTCTTGTCTACCATAGGCCTAAGTTTTTTGCAACAAGATAACCACTAAGCCACTACGACACATTTTCATTAGATTGACACTTTTGTTAAACTGGTGGTTGGTAGAACAGAACTATATCAAACTGAAGTACCATCGAAATAGATATTACCATTTCCGATATTCCAAATATTTGTATGTAAGGATTTTAAAATTCCCATTGTCAAAATTAAAAGAAAACATATGAGCGAGGAATACTGTTTTCAATTAACTCTCATCAGACTTAACGGTAACATACGTAAGTTTTTTTCTTAAATATAAAACACTAAAACAATCATGGCGGATTCTTTAGTCTGTGGTAACAAGGAAATGAAGTATATAAATAGTACATAACCAGATAGTAGTAATGATAATTATCTCAGCAACAACAGAGATAGTGAGGACAGCTGATACTGCAGACATTAAAGCAGTCAATGTGGGTCAAAACTTAGAAAAATAAAAGTTGCGTAATACTCAAGAATAAAGTAAGTAGATAATCAAAGTCAAACATATAAACATGTATGAAAGAAGTGGGCTGAAAATTGAATTTTTCTTTGAAGTCACTAATTAAGTTTTCTCTGGCCAAGGGAAAACTAAAAAATGTTCAAATTTTTTTGCCGCAGAGACTAGAGTTATTTTCTCGAATTCCCATACCCTCAACTATATGTAATAAGCGAGTACGAATTCTACTCGAAAGATTTTGTGGAATGTGATAGATGATTTTGAATGCCCTGATCTTATCTATTACATGACTACTGTCAAGCAAATGCGACAGAATTGAACTTCGTAGTGACTTCACTTGTTCCTCTCCTAGCCAAAATGGTAGGTGCTCATCAGCACGTTTTTTTAAATTGCCTAGTGATACATCCAATGGAGTACCTGAATTGATAAAGACGCATAGAAGTGGCAACAAATTCACTATGATTGGTCTAATGTTTTGTATATGAGAAGATTTGTGTATATTAGCGTTGTCTGATGAGGGTTTATTTCAAAACAATATTATTCGTTAATATTACTGAAGAGATTCTACAGCATTTTTGTGAACTTCAGACGTTATCAATCCACATAACTTAATATTTTCGGATTACGCATATATATATATATATATATATATATATATATATATATATATATATATAGGTAATACAAGTAGTAGTATCATCTGTACATCCCTTAAACATCCATATCAAAAGTATTAGGTAGACTGATAGAATAAAAGAGTAAATTACAAAATACCAGAGCCCAGTAGGATTGTTAATCGAATGCTTGCGCACATAAAGTCTAAATACGTTGTTGATGACTGATGAGATGTTTAACATTGAATTAATTAATAATCACATAGTACTTGTTACCTCAAAGAGAAAATACGTGCAGAATGTAAACGCTTATGACAATAGAAAAGGAAAGGTTAGTGGTTATATTTGAAAAATCACGCGCAATAACTTCTTTTTGACCGTCTACACAGATTGTAACATGTGACAATACTTGTTCTAATGCATCGATTAGTGGTTTTAAAATATTGTGTGTTACTGCTTAATTTGTAACTTCACGATTAAGCTGCTGTTCATAACACTGATCTCTAGAAAGCAGTTGAGAATCCCCTGTTTGTCTTGAGTGTGCTCAAGAGTGGGTTGACATGTACTTTTATTGATCAAGGAGAGTTTTAAGATGGTCGGGAATATATACGATGATTTAAACAGCGTGATAAGACGAAGATTATCTGGAACATGTGATGTATTAGCGCTATGCATTTCGAACAATCTGATCACACATGGACTTGTCAAACTATTTATGTGAAAATTCCCTTGTTTCCTATTAACTTCATTGACCTTTTTCGTAAATTTTCACATAAATAGTTTGACAAGTTCATGTGTGATCAGATTGTTCGAAATGTATAACGCTAATACATCACATGTTGCAGATAATCTTTGTCTTCTCATTACACTGTTTGAATTTATCAAAGGGACCAGCTGCTTTAAATTTTTTAAAAGAAGACTCCCTCAGTATGTGACGATGCTTGATTACAATATTTGGAAGTTAAAAATTTGAATCTTTCAGTTTAGAGGTTTATGGGGATTTATTGATTTCAAGTTAGTCTTCATCAAAAACTAACATCAGTTGGTGAACCATAGAAAAACTAAAGGCACTGGGAAGTTATTTCGTCCTAGTATGATACTCCTCAGCCTTTCCCATTCTTGATAGCATCAAAGATCAAACTTGGCATCTTTAGGTTTCGCGGGAAGCACGTTACCATTGAGTTACTGGGTCAGAAGTCGATGCTCCACATTTTCGTACTTCTATCAATTTGTGATATGGCACCAACTTCATCGAATGCCGCTATGAGTACTTGTTTTCATGTCCGACCTGATTTACCTCAAACATTGCTACTTCTCATTAGAGCACCAGACTACAATTCATTGATTTCCAGTAGTTTTCCAATTGATTTCAGTCTGTGATGAATGACAACTTTAAATTCAAATCTAATTTACTTGATATTTCGCATCAGCCATATCATTTGCTAGTTCTGATGTAAAATTATGTGGATCTCGGGATTTAGTCATCGAGTTCATTTCCGATTCGTAAAATGCAGACTTTAAAATTTTACCGACAAACTATGATCTTTCGAAAGGTCACTAACTTCTTTACTCACCTCTTTGAAGCTCTTCAGATATCATTTGATTTACAAAAGTTGTTATAATTAAGCATATGCAATGATGAAAAGTACATGCATAAAAAAAAGACCCAGAATACAAAGTAGAAGATTAAATAGGATCAAATAACACCTGTATACAATAATTAGCCAATTATGTGTAAACTTTACATTTAAAAAATCCTTTTTGATCTGATAGGTCCTAGCCAATGTTACTACAAATTATACAAATCTGGGTACCGGTGGGTTTCTACCTTTTGGAATGAATGGGGTACTGTCTGGAGCTGGAACTTGCTTTTTTGCATTTGTTGGTTTTGATATTATTTCAACAACAGGTAAGTAATCTTATTAATGAATGTTTCAACCACGTCTTTCTTCATGCCCTTGAGCACAGTGATAAAATATGCAGACTGAACTATAGGCTTAAGACAAAAGACAAGTCACTCACTCCTTCAATAAAATCAACTGAATTCTGCCTCTTTAAGATTGGATTTAAAGCTGTATCAAAAATGGAATAAAAACGTTTACCGACTAAAGGTCAAACTAGAGAAGTCTCAATATTATCAATATTCAGGTGTAAAAGTTTCCTGTTTATTGGTCTTAAAACCAACGACTAAATATTGCTTCACTAGCAATTACCCTAAAGATGAACTTTGGTCACAGGGAAAATATTGTTTTTGAAACGAGATATAAGCAAATGAGATCGAGAAAGTTTGGTACTCAATTTTTCTCGAAGTGTCTCCAGACTTCAATCGTCTACCCTATTACTGCTTATACTCAGCTTTCTTCTTATGAATACCACTAGCATTGTATAATTGTTGGAATCGCCAGCTCAAATAGATGCTTTTTTTAGTAGTGTAAAGTACTTTTTCTGCCTATAGTTAAGGTGAATAAATCCTAAGTTTCATGATCCTTGATATTGACAAGGTCTTCTTCACGGTAAAATGAGTAAGATTCTTGATAAAACTTGAAACATATTAACATATGACGAAGAGAACAGTACTTTTAATCTTCTTTAGTCTGGTATTAACAATACCTGTCAAAAATAGTTTACTAAACTTGTTTTATCCATTCAAATACCGTGAAAAAAAATAACTTAAACAATTCACTTTGTTCTTTCCAAGGTGAGGAAGTGCGTAATCCACAAAAAGCAATCCCGATAAGTATTATTGGATGCCTGTTAATATGCTTTTTGGCTTATGGACTTATCTCTGCCACGATTACTTTAATGCTACCATATTATGCACTCTCACCGATTGCACCTTTACCACTAGCATTTAGTAAGCATGGTTTACAATGGGCGAAATATGTTATTTCAACTGGAGCTTTATGCGCTCTTACAACAAGGTTGGTATATAATTTTTAAGTTGATAAGTATTTCACTATACAAGTTCTGATCATTGTAAAGAATTGTTTTTGAGTTAAAGATTTTATACCCCATGAATTGATGGTACCATCTGATAAAACTTACTGGAAACCAACAGTTACTAAAGTAAAAGATTCTGCAGTTTGAAAAATCCTCAGTAGTCTTGACGGTTTCTTCCCTTGTTGAAAGTTAAACTCATGGAATGCATATCATATCGATGGCCAACCAAATACCATAATTCCTACTACGTAAGCATCTTTGAAACCATTTTATGTAAATGCTAAATAGCTTCTTGGTTCTTGATATATCTTCTAAATAGTGTCGGTGACCGACTACACCTATCACTCCATACAGTTTTATGCAAGTAGTAGTTGAAACTAAGCTTCAACAACAAATGAGTACCGAATACCTGGCCTATGCAAGATAACGATTTCTTTGTACTTTATTTTCTTAGATGAATAAAGAGTTAGACCAATAAAACTCAAATTTCAATCAAAACTTATTCCACTCGAAATCAACAGTTCATACCATTCGTATGACACTTTTAGCACTCAGTAATCTATTTTCCACTCATTTCGTAGTTATAGACTTAAATTTTATGTCATTAGAATATAACTTACTCTAGTATAACCATTTGATAAAACTCTCTCACGGTGATCACATTGTTAGTAGATGTGGAAGCAAAAAGTTCAGTGGATGCATTATAGTCGTACGTTATGTCAATATGTTCCTTGTTTCGATTACTCAAGGGTGAGATTAGGACGGATCAGAACGATCTAATTAACCGCCAGTGTGATAACCAACATGTATTTTGTAGCAATTCTTATGACACTGATAAAATTAGCCATAAGGATGATCTAAATAGTTTGAATATCTGTGATATAACTTTCTCACTTTGAGAAGGCAGTCTCAATAAATCTAATTGTAAAGAATTAGATTTTCTGCAAATAAAAATAAAGTCCATTATTATTTAGTTGATTTCCATGAAACAAACCATACTTCTTAAATGTGCATTGATTGGTGATCAAAATGCTAAGACGAAGATCACAAGTATGTACTGAAGCGTAAATGTATTCAATAACTTTGTTGATGACTATTTCCTATGCAGTAGTGCAGTATACAACTTTTTATAACATAAATACGATTATTGAAGTTGAAGAGAATTTCCTCGTTAATCAGATTGTGAATCCAGAACTAATCGTTTGAGTCAGTTACAGTCATAAATGATATATCGAGAATTATTTTTGAAATTTTATGAATTCTTCAGTACCCTACTGCATATATCCACTTCTTAGACTCTTCAAATTTATCAGATTCTTTTTTTTTAGTCCTCATGTATCTGAACAACTTTATGAGTTCATCTTTGTCTTTTCTAAATATGCATTAACATACCAAAAATGTCATAGCAAGCCACCCACGACATTTCATTCCACTTCTACATTGGTCAATGTTTGCTCACCTGAAGATTGAAATTGAAATATAAGCGTTCCTTAGTGCGATACTCATAACCGTCTACTCACAATAAAATTACGTATGATATTTTGGCTGGAGAAAGGCGCACGACAGCCAGACTAAACATGGCATCAATGCATAAAGTCCTTGACTGTTGGTTTGAACCATATAGGCCGATGCAGACTAGCCTGTTGGGGTCTACAGGACAAGAGAAACGAGTGGTTGGAGACTCTAGGTGGTAGGGCTTAGAACCAATGTCAGTGGTGCTGATGCATACACACGTTGTCCTCATCTTAACCGCTACACTTAATCTCACCATCTCATTCTTCCTTCCTCTCCATTACTACTTCTTACTTCTACTTCCTTTGATTGGTTTTTCTTTCCTTCTTCATCTTCCATGTTATTGCCTTGTTACTTGGTGTGCTGATATAAAGTGTGGCAATTTGAACCGTCACTCAGTAATGCCTGATATTAATGTACCTAATAAATTCATCGAATAATAAGATCTACGTATGTCGTCAGTGCTTTCTAATAGTGATATGTCTTCGTGTCATTAAGAAATATATTCTCATTTTCTATTTTTTCAGATAACTTTGCCAACCATGTTCCCTCTTCCTTGTTTTTGAATGCACTGGTTGAATTCAGTAACTACTCAAGTTTTCTTTTACACTTATTCAACTCTGAAAATACATTCTTATTGCTTGAAAAGCGTTATTCAGGCCATTTTTCATATACCCCTACATCATTTCACACAAAAACTGAATTGATGACATACATTTTAACAATTAAGTATATCGAGTATCTCACATATTATCTATCATGTTAATACTAAATATATCATGCACTCTAGTTATGTAGCTTGATATCATGAGTACATGAAAGTTATTACATATAATTATCAATCAACTAAAAAGCTAGTTAAAATCAATATATGCATCAGCTATGGGTCTAGTCTGTTCCACTTTGTATCATATCTGATCGTCACTAATTTACAATTTTCAAAATAGAGAAAGAAAAGACCTGAAGAAGGAATGAGTCCGATGATAAACTTGTTTATCAGTATGGTTTGTTATTTGCCTTTGCACGTTTTCTGAACTAAATTAGTAGTCTATAGGTTATTTGTATAGATTCCTTAGTCCTACAGTCCATTGAAGTGTCGTAGTACGTGAAGGAGACAGTTATTGGATTACCTTAGTAAACGGCTGTAATCATTAACTGTTGACAACTGAGATAATGTGTGTGTGTGGAATAAAAATTCCTGTGATAACAGTTATATGCATGAATTTGTACTTCATTGTCATGCTTTAAATAGGTTTGAAATGACTATCTTGAGTCATTAATGTAGTTATGGCTTAACAAAGTGAAAAATTCACAACCTGCCGAATTAATAGCTCTCTTTGTCGGTAAAGTCAAGTAAAGCTAGCCAGTCGAAAAGGTATCAAGAGAAAGTCGAAGATTTGAGCAACAGTTAGGAAGTATAAAACAGTAAAATAACTAATATCTACAGTATGATAAATGATAGATACACCTAAATTATTAAAAACTTTTGCATCTCATTACCTAGCGTTTCCAGTCATTAAACCTTAGTTATTCAGAGTATCTCAACGAGATCGCTGAAACAGTTAGTGCAACAGTCACTTCATTCTCGCATGTATGATATGTGTTGTTCATATCACTTTGAAACACTTACTATGGATTCACAACAGACTAAATGATTAAATTTAGGCTGAAAATTGCCAGTAGTTCATTTGATGCTTTAACTACATACAAGAATATTTGTGATTAATCGCATGTGAAATTTTTACATTATCTACCCGTTGGTGGTAACGTCATATTTATGCAGTATAGCAAATCGAAGTATACGTTTCTATACTTCTCGTCTGATAAGCTACACGATTAATCATAAACACCATGAGTTTTATGAGCTGATGAAAATCACCAAACCATACTTACCCATATTGAAGTGTTATTGATGGCCAAGCAAATCAGTCTGTAGGCCAAAGTTACCAGATTCACTCGGTAGGTTTTCAAACTTTCACTCACAGTGGTCATGAGATGTTCCATCAATTTGGTTTGGTAGTTGAAAATTTCAAATCACTTGACTACTTACCAGTGGTTGGCAGACAATAAGTACACTACCAATCTCTACGTATAAATTGTTTTGCAATCTCTTCCTCCGTTTTCATCATTTATAAGTATTGTCTGTTGGTGCTCATTTCACAAAAAGTGGCTATTTTGCCTCAGTGATCTAGTGGATAATCCTTTGATGCTTGAAGCGATGGTACGACGTTCGAGTCTCAATAGGAACACCATCACTCACTAGGGTACAGGTACACCCAGCTTACGAGTCCGAAATAGGACGAAACCCGTGCCTTAAATTCCACTAATAGTCACCACCAAGAAGATAATATGCAATTTTCCACGGTAAACTTTGTATTTTACTCTGTTTTAATACCATAATACACACTAAAAAAGATCAATGTCTCTTATATTCCTGTATGGTTACTTTCGATACAATTCCATGTCAAATAGCATTTAACAATTTTATTGTGTGAAAATAATAAAGTCTATTTATTGTTTCATAGTTGGAAAAAAAGTCCTTTCTAATAGTTTCTTAAATCACTAAATAAAAATTATTCAATAACTTCTCTCTGATCTTCACGTTTTATTTTAATGGGTTGAAGCTGATTTCCTAGGAACTTAAAACCCAAACTATTGAGCTTCTATGCATTTCATGGCATACTGCTTAAACCTTTCTTCTCTACCATCAAATTATATTCAAGATTATCGCGCTTAAAATTACATGAATTTTAATAGGTAGATTCGTTTTTGCAACAATAGGTCAGTTTTTTTTTAAGCCACTGACAACGATCCTTCATAGTAGACAATTAAAATTCGCAGCTTTCAGATATAATCAGCTGTCTAATGTATACTGCGTATTGTACTATCTCGTAGAATAAAATGAGATAGTTTTCTTTGTAGGTAGCCGTTATATTTAACTGTCTTTTAAAATATGAATTCTGTACTTATTTCATACTTATTATTATTACCATTTATTGGTATGCTTTTAATTTTCCGTTGTTTTACTGGATCGAATTGTTCGGACTCTGTTGGTGTATGGGCTCCTATCCGGATGCCTCGATATTACCTGAATATTTATCATGATAATATACTTGGTTGTGGGCAGGAGAGAAACTGGGAACGCGCGTTTCGTCTAGTCTGGGACTCGAAACGCGCGTCCTGGATTCCACTGCTAGCCACAACCAAGTAAGTTATCATATTATTATATTAAAAAAAGCTGTCGTACTGCTTTTTATAATTTTCACACAAACTACCATATCACCGAGTGATAATGTTTATATAAATTTCGTTGATAGCCAGTCTGTATGAAAACAAGGTTCTGAAGTCGTAAGCACTATCGATACATGGTTGTGCATTCAAAAAGTGAAAAACCGAAATTTAATGAAGCCCTGCACAAAACTCTATTATTAATTCCTTACTGCATGTGATATGAACACCGATTTACACTAGACTAAGATAAAAACTTGATATTCTGTGAAAAAGGCTAGCAAGGTATAGTTGAACGCCGAGTTGTTAGTTCATTTAAAGGCAGTGGGATGTATGTATTTATGTTTCAGACTCAGTAGACCATAACGAACACAAATAGTTCAGCATGATCCAATTTGTTCCTATTCACTATCAAAACAGACTGTCTTAGGTTGTCAGTATTTCCCTAGAATTACACTTACAATAAGGACAATAAAAGGATTTACTTTTGATGCATGAAACTGTTCCAACTTTATACTATAACCATGTAAATTAGTGCTCCTGTTCATATCCCTTAAATTACTTGGCAACTGTTTTAACTAACCACATTTTTTGTGAAGCCTTTTAGGTTCGATGTTTCCATTGCCACGTATTTTGTATGCTATGGCAACAGATGGATTGCTGTTCCATTTCTTGGGTCGAGTAAATGCTCGTTTTAAAACTCCACTGATAGGCACCATTATATCAGGTGTTATAGGATGTAAGTAACTTTTGTGAATATATGCATACTTTGCTCGTTTGACAACTGTATTCTTGATAGTTTATCATCATTTTCTTTTGTCTGCAACTTTGAGAACTTAGAATAGATAGGTATTCATTTTTATACCCAGTTTTCAATGATTACTGTAGTCACTTTTACTCATCAGGTTTTAAGTGAATCGCATAGATAATCATTGGGAAAAGTCAAAATTCCTAGCATACTTTGAAACTTAGTTTCAAAGAAAGAAGCATGCTCTTCCCAATAGATTAATGATAAACAAACGAAGTTGTAGTCCTGAAAGTTAAGGGACTGTAACTACATAAAAGTGGTTAAAGTAATTCTTTGGTATTTGATGTCGACACTGATACTAGGACTGTATCTCTCAAAAGAAAGCAATGTGGTCACTATGTTAAATTGAATAAACGCTTGAATAATTTCACTGGCAATCATACGTTTACCTCCAATACTGAACAGTGGAAGTTTAGAAAACAAAATTCATTCTTTTAAAGTTATTTCAAGCTTATAACACTAATTTTTAGCGTGTTGAGAAAATATTTAGCCGATAATTACACTTTTCTAAGAAGTGCCAACTTTTAAACTGTGTTTCTTTTGCCAATCTTCGTTTGCATGAAAAACCCTCAGTTTATCCTATATTGTTAAGTACGAACTGGATAGTGTCTGACAAACACGAGTGAGGAAAGAAAAACTTTTCCTCTAAGAACCTAGAAAATTATAATTCTTCTACACCGTGAGTACATTTGAGGCCTGCAAGACAGTCGAAACAAATTTTCGTAAACTTCAAGTAATACTGTTCAAAATCGGTTGTAATAGTGTCGATACATTAACACCTCATCTTTGATCGTCATATCTGACTTCCCTTGTTTTTTTCGAACTATTTTCCCTCTGTTTTACTACATTCTATAACTACTGATCACAATATTTTCACTTTCGTCTTGTTGCTTTCGGTCTTGACATCATGATGTGTAACCTGAAATGATTTGCAAATTTCAAGTAGGACACCTGTACAAAAAACCTCAGGTCCAATGACGATAAACTACGTGCTGTAGAAAATATTTAGCCAAAGATGTTTTCTACATTTCAAGGTGTAGACTGTGATCTGTAGTCCCATATTAGTAGCTGTTTTCTACATGAATGTTTCTGAGCACTCTCTCAAGATTTCAGTCTATCAGAATACCAGCTACTATACCGCTCAATTTTCGTGTTCAAAACTTTAGGCATAATGGCCGGAATATTCAGTCTACAAGATCTAGTAGACATGATGTCAATCGGTACACTTTTGGCCTACACTCTGGTATCCGTTTCTGTGCTTCTCTTAAGGTAAGTTTTCACGATATCCTACTAAAAAGATTACCTCTTCCAGATTATTTGTTTTGAATATTTAAACAACACAGCCAGCTAGTTATTGTTTTAAAAAATCTATTTTTCTAACTGGTTGTGGCTTTTTTGGTAGCCAGCAATGGAATACATGACGTGCTTTTCGTCCTATTTAAGACTTGTCCGCTGGATGTTCCCTTACCCCATTGGGTGTTATTCCCACTGAGACTAGAACCCAGCACCTATCGCTTCAAACATCAAAAAGTTATCCAATAGGCCACTGGGACATCAAAACTACCAATTGTGCAACTGGCATTGGTTATTGTTTTATTACACTCGCAATTTCCCGCTGCGAAACTGGGTAAAATGTCTCGACCTCTGTTTGCAAAAGTGCTCTTATGTGGATGCCTTGAAACCGCCTGGATATTCATTATACTGTAGTCTATTTGATGGCTAGCAGTGGAACCCACGACCTACATTTCGTCCTATTTGGGATCTATTTGTTTAACTACCTCCTTCGAGAGAGTCGCATACAGTTCCTGGTTGTATTCTTATCCAACTGACTGACTACAATGCTGATAGACGGTTCATCTGACCGATACCAACCAAACAAACCACCAAACAAAAATAATGTCCACTACTAATTAGTCATTTCTTTTTCAAGGGGATTTCTCGAAGTTGCAATTAAAAGCCTTAACCAATTAGGTCAATCAAGTCAGAGGATTATGAGCAATAGTTTATGCTTGAAACGTAAATAGATAAATAAGACTTTATCAGTCTGTGTCATATTAAATAAACAATCGAATACGAAATTAGGAAGTGGAAACCATTACCTTTGTAAAATCATTTGTTTTAGGTTTCGATTTCATTCTCTGACTGTTCAAAACATTTCCTATATTTTTTCCGTTTGACTTACTAGTACTCTATCACAAATTTTTGATTGATCTGTTCTCTGCTTACTGTTGTCTTTTTCATCAAAACTGTTAGATTTGTACCAGCTGAATATGTACATGCTGACTTTTCCTTCAGACTAACTAAGTTAACTGGTAGTTTAAGTCATTTGTGTGTTATTTTCGCATAGGCGTCAGTATATGAATACGAAACACTGGAATGAGCGAACCAGCTCATTAAACTCTTTTTAAGAGACAAAACTTGTACCTGTAAGCTTTTAGACTAAGTTCTCTTGGTTTTTTCTCTTCAACATTTCATTATTCTGAATGGCACTTCGAAGATGTCTACGGTAATTCCCTATGTTTTGTACATGTAGTAGTAAAGCACTGCCTTTATATGTGTGACAAAACAGGTCACTATTTATTCTAAAGTGTCTCATAGATTACTGTAATATTTTGCAGGTAATGCATATAATCTGAGTTCTCCAGAATAGTAATCAGTTATTGTATTTTAAGCAACATTTTATCAGGTTCTAGTAAATAAAGGCCAGTTATGCAGGGCTATCTAACTGATGGCTGTTCTTCGTAATCTCATCAAAAACTTGATTGTCATTTCCTTACACTAACTAAACCTTTGCAAAAAATAATGTTTATACACTAACTTATTATCTGAAGGTTATATACTCCATTCCTTGACTCTTACTTGATCTCAAACAACTATTAAAAAATAAGATTTGTGAAATGGGAGTAGTTTTATTGTCACTTGGCACGTCGACCGATGTAACAAAATCCCTCTTTTAAAAGGTTAATTACACTTTAATCTCATCGATTTGCACTTTAATACAAGCAATGATATCAAGACTAAACCCGTCGCATAAGGAATGGATATCAAGACTCAGTGACCTGGTGGATAAGGCTTTGGAGTTTGAAGCGGTTGGTCGAGGGCTAGAGTCCTAGTGGGAACAAGGTCATTAACTAAGAGGGAGATACATCCAGCTGACAAGTCCCAAATAGGATGAAACACGCGTTCTGGATTCCACTACTAGCCACCATTCATTATTGCTTTTTATACTATACTTCTGATTCTTCATAACTTACAGCTGCACTAACAATTCAGTGTATATGTGTGTGTGGTATTTTGTGTTATTTACTGGTCAAGAATTTCAATTCTGATAAATGTCTCAGAATGGTATTTAACTTCACCCTACCCTGGGAACCAATCATTTATAGTAGACTTATTCACATGACATTTATTCAACCACTCACATTATCCTAAATGGTTCATAGTGAAAAGAGAGTTGGACTGTTTACAATACAAGAATGTAGTATTGATTAGTGGCAGTGAAGACGTTTTTTTTGGTGTTCAGTTTATCGTTAACCAGGTTTCTTTTTAAAACTATGCTGCTGATACACTAGTATTAATCAATCTGACCTTTTCCATTACGGCAATGTATTCACAAAGAACGCAATTCATATACTGTCTAATTTCCGCTAAATTCCATATTCAATTTTTAGGTTTATGGGGATTTATTTATTGATTCCAGGTTGGTATTCATCATGGAATGACACCTTTAGGAGAAACCTCGGAAATCTCAGAGCACTGGACTGTTGTCTCGTTCTGGGATGAAACTAGCAGAAGTAGGAAATATGAACCATTGTATTTCAACCCAGTTGCTCAATGGTAACGTGCTGACTGTGGAACCTAAAGGTATTGGGTTCGATCCCTGACGATGACGGGGGGTGGTCATTGGTGTGCATTACTGAGGAATCCTACACTAGAACGAAGCAACTATCTATCCCAGGTTTCCGATATTTTTCCAACTGACATCAGTCCATGATGAATACCAACCTGAAATTCCGTATTGCTGATCGCGTAATTTTCCTACATTTGTAGTTATAACTTCGTTAATTTATTGCAAACTACTTCACAGGCTTTCCAAAATGCCTAACCTTAAGTTGTTGATTAAAGTAGAACTTATGAGTTCCATACAACCCGATTAACAACATTTTCAGAACCTAAGGGACAAATATTTTCATTTATATCACAGTGACGTTTTTCACAGCATTCCTTAGTCATCTATTCTGTATGAAGTAGTCGAATTCTATTCCCTAGAGGCATTCAATACAATTCAGTTTGTGTGTATGGTTACTGGTTACCGCTCAAATGGATACCTGAATGGAACGTCAGAAACTTTACAATTCATTAGCTAAAAACACTTTTTGATATAACTCAAATCAAGTTGTAATAGTTCAGGTTTATCTACTTTTTATTTGGTGAATTTTGGATGTATCATTCTGCATTTTTCTGTGTGTTTATTTGCCTCACTTTTTCTTTCCCACTTATTGCCGTTTATTAAACTGTCTTAGTTAGTATAACAAGTGATACTAAACTTAATGTGAGAAATCAATGACAGAAGTTGGTAGAAATCTACATGGCAATGGTATTCTGTTCACATCAAATCATTACTAAAGACATTTCTTCCTAGGATTTTATTGGTACAGTTTATGAAACTTAGCTTCCATGTTGCTTACTACCCATGTTTCTTTGACTAATTATTATATTTGTAAACTTCAGTTTACAATCATTGAATTGTATACAAGGCCAGGAACCTCTCTATTGAACAGAGCATACTACAGCTTATTACAACAATATTATCTGATGTGTATTAGGTGCTTCATTGTATTCACCTACATGCAACTGATATTTCCTTCCCTTGCCTTTTCAATTACATTCACCTTAGAGGACAACAAAAGTCAGTTGGATGTCATGATGTATATGACAGTAAAAAAATCTGCATAACGTATGATCCCAGTGGATATTCACTGCATGAAAACCAGTCTTCTGAAAATATAAGGCTATCTGAGTAAGTATCTTTAATCACTTATCAATGGTAACCAAATAAACTATGAAACTTTGTTAAAATTAGTTCAAGATGTTATATATATATATATATATATATATATATATATGTATATTTACAATGAGAGAACAAAGGAATTTGTAGAATAAAATTAGCTCATTTTACTTCACAGCGACTCATCAGCTGCAAACAGCCTACGATCGAAGTGAAGCATAAGTAATAAGCCTGTTTTTTGCGGCTGGTGAAAGGCTGGGAAATAAAATCAGCTCATTTTATTTTGCAAATGTCTTCGTTCTTGCATTGTTCAGACTTGTCAAGGGAACTAAATGTATCTTATATATATATATATATATATATATATATATATATATATATATATATATATATATCTTGACTACAGCACCTGGTACTTTAAACTGTTATCCAGTTTTGTACATTCATTTCACTCTGGTTCATTCATTTAGCATTTCTTAAGAAACGTAAGTTATTCACTAGGACCCTTCCTTCTAGGATACAATAATAGACTATGAGAATGAAAACTACAAACATATTGAGGTTATGCGTGCATAAATTTGAAGAGACTAGTGATAGGGTGAAATGATCGTTTTATACTCTATCGTTTTCAATCGTCTCTTGAGGAACATCAACTTAAGATTCACTAGAACCTCAAAGTCAGTTATTCGGTAAAGAAGTAACACAAGGGTATAAAATGAGGGAAAGAGACTTTGGTCCTGAGCGGGTCCGTTTTTAATTTATAGTCTGGAGAACCAATAGTTTAAATGGATGATTGTATCATGCAGTTATTATAGAAGACGAATTCAAACTAGCAAATGTTTGACCACGATAATGATCAATCGCCATACCACATAAACTGTTGAGATAATTAAATTACTGGAAAACTTGCTAATTAAAATCATAAGCTATTTTTACACCGTTGCAGTCTTATGAAGTGTTCAAACATCATAAATAATTTGAGAACCAAGAGAATTATTTATACTATCCATGAAGAAAATGTGGTTTCATCAGAATGTTTTCACAAACCTATGTACTAGAGAATCATGAGCAAGGCACATGTTTAAAGATAGGTTATCAGTCACGCCAACTTTAGGAGAACTAAGAATAGTATATTTCTGTATGAACCTTCAGTGAGTGGAACACTAGTTGAAAGTCAAGCACCTAGCCAGGTGAATCATGTTTCATTTGCATCCAAATTCCTGAGTTTTCAAATATTTCCTGATTTAGTCGAAAATGATGTATAATAAATTCTTACCGTTGAAACGGTAGTCCCGCAAGCCTTTTTATCTCATATATATATATATATATATATATATATATATATATATATATATATATATCGTACACTTTGAACCAATGTAGATGCGCCCTCAGTCAACGATACTAAAGGTAATATACCCCTGAATAAAACTTAAGGATCAAGTTGAAAGAATATTCAATGTTTTATTATGAATAAATTTTTCTTTGCAGAGATTTTAATACTAATGTTTCGTTTTTATGCATCTGAATTAAGTATATGGGGGCTGATTAAGTGTTTTTTACCTTTCTTCTATTACGTTTTCCCGAAACACATGTAAATTAATTTTTTTGTCTTTTGACTAGTGAAAAGTTATTAGATAATTTCAAAAAGACGGAAACCATATCAAGTGATACTGACAAGCCGGAGAAAGATACAGCTATTTTGTCAGAACTTAAAGAATCTTGCATTTCTGTTTCTACAGTTTCTAATCAAAGGTAAGAAGGTGGTTCTTATGAAAGTGAATAAACAACTATAAATGTTATTCGCTACATAAATTTTCTCATTTTTATCTTTCGAGTTACTCAGGTGTTTCGTAAATTAAATCTCAAATGATTTAAAGCAGACAGAAATTTGAATCTAAAATTATGGATATCCTGTTTCCCCCTAACCTAGAATAATACAAATACTTTAGACCTCTCCAGGTTGAAAATATAAAACCAAATCCAGACAGAACCAACGCAAAAACTAGCACACAATTGCATCGATCCAAGTTGCCATACTTCACAGCAGTATACAAAAACATAGATAAACTAAGAGTGATATCAAAGTGGATGAAGTTGAGAATAAGCAATTCAATACTTTTTTGTACTCAAGCTTTATAAGATACCAAGGAGTAAGTGCATCTGCCCCATCTTGACTGATTTTCATCTATGTCATGAAGAGTCCTCAACCACTGATTTCGATCCTCTCAGGCACCCCAGCCAGTCAGTCTGCATCTCCAAACACAACTCAGGCCAACGGTCAGGGATTCCATCGACCGGTACCACGAGTTGGTCTGACCACCCTAAGTCTTCTTCCAACCTCATCCAACTCCCCCCAGCATGGCACGTGGAAGTAGGCAGTGGCTTGGAATGTACAGTACACATCCAAGCCACGTCAGCCTATGAAGTTTCTCAAAAAACCTTGAAGTCATAAAACCATACTGTTTTGGGATTCAAATCAAGTCATAAATCAGTAGCATTGAATTCATTGTATAAGAATTTAGAACTTGCATACTAGTATTACTGAGTTTCTATTTCAGCTGCATGCATATTTTCTACACTAAAACCCATAAGTATACCCCTCAAAAATCAACAAAATTTTCGCCTAACTTTGACACATCTCTAAGGTCAATGGGTAGTCAACTAAGTAATTTTAATGAGTTTGCATGATCAAAACTATATATGACCTGGGTAGATGCTGTAAACTCCCAGCTCCTAAGAGACTGTTATTTCATTATTTTGAAAATCCTAAGTAGTATGCTTTGGCGTTTTCTTATGTTCTGATTAGAAATCAGGAAACTAAAAAAAGAATTACGCAATGTTTGAGATAATAATGAGAAGAAAGTTTATTAAAACCGAACTAATATTTGGTTACTAAGTCAAATGATGTAATATGGTTGAGGAGGGTGGCGAGTTTAATGACAAATCAGAATTGTAGATGCTGAAGATTATGGTGTGTGAGAGGATGTGAAAGAACAGATTTTGAGGGCAGAATGTTCTTATAGGTCATGTTCATTGCAATTGAAGTGACTGGAGAAATTTTGTTTGAACTCTGAGGTCAGGCTTCGAAATATTATTTGCCATGGCTTCCATAGTTTGAAGAAGTTCCAGGTGTACCCGTTTCACGAGGTTTGTACAAACTCAATAGGTGGAAATGACCTATAAGAACATTTTGCCCTCAAAATCTGTTCTTTCACATCCTCTCACACACCATATATATATATATATATATATAAACCCCAAGTTCTTATTTGTGTCCATGGGTCGATCTTTCTGTCATCTGAGTCTAAATATGGGGCAGAAATCTGAGTATAGTGTAGCCTGACTTTGTGGTCAAGTTGTGAATTCTGATTGGTATACTAAAGTTATCACTAAAGGCTTGGAAATGAAGTTTATGCATAAAATCTCTTTTCAAGGTACAAGAACAATGAATTAGAGAATAACCAATAATTGTAATTGCTGCAGCGTTGACTGTAAATGACAAATAATCAAATCTTCCATCATTTACAGTCAGCTGAAGCAGAAATAAGAGTTATATACCTCTGTCTTGTCAACTTAAGTATATAACTTACGTATAAACAAACTCATTATACATCGTGTCCACTGAAGTCCTTAGAATATGATAAATCAAGAGTCAAGAAACTACAATTACGTATTCCATCAGTTTTAAGTATAGACTACTCCATATCCGTTTTAAATCTCTTTGTATAAAGTCTTTTACTAGTATTCTTCCTTTTCACAACCAGTAAGTAAGCACTCACTTTTTCTGTAACATTTCGCCTTCAGATTAATTTTTTCTTTCTATTTTTCTCAGCTCTTCGTCGTATACTTTAGAAAAAAACAATAATTCACCAGTTCCTGCAAAAACACGTCTTACACTGTCAGGTTATTTTCGCATGTGTTTTAAACCTGAACCTGGTTTAGACAATCCAACTGCAATGACTGAAATGATATATAATATCAACAGCTATTTACTATGTAAGTAAAAACTATGCATTTAGTTAGTACTTTAATAAACATATAGTTTACACTAAAATTTTGTCTCTGTTTGGAGTTATGAAAACAAATTTAAGTAAAGTATATGGTTTTAAGGGCTGTTGATATAGCTTACATGCACTGAGAAGGCCGACTGAGGACATCACGCGTCAGGCCCTCGAGTGGAACCCCCATGGGAAGCGACGAGTTGGACGTCCGAGGGTGACATGGAGGAGATCGTGCGAGGAGGAAATGAGAGCTTGTGGGCTGTCGTGAGACCAGGTTCAAAAGATCTCAGAGAATAGAGGTCACTGGAGGCGTGCTACTGAAACCCTATGTTCCACTAGGAACCCAAGGGACTAATAATTAAAATAATAAATGATATAGCTTACACTGGCGCGGAATCATCCTCCACCCCTATCCACCCCAAGTAAAATATTAAGCCACATCATCCTGGAGAAACTAAAAGATGTGCTGGATTAAAAATTGCGACCGGAACAGGCTGGCTGGCTGGCTTCAGGAAGAACAAATCATGTGCGGACCAAATTGCGACGCTACGCATCATCATAGAACAAAGCGTAGAATAGCAGTTATTTCAACCTCAACTTCATCGATTTTGAAAAGGCCTTCAACAGAGTCGACCGAGAAGTAATTTGGAAACTGCTTCAACACTACGGTTTTAGTACCATAAACCTTTATCAATCTCATTCAACAGCTACATGCTACATCATGCCACATCCCAAGTGATTCACAATGGAAAGCAAAGCGACGCCTTTGAAGTGAAGACAGGAAGGAGTAAGACAAGATTGCCGCCTACTATCACCGATCATCTTCCTGATTGTGGTCGACTGCACTGAATCATGCAGCAAACCGTGAGGAGCGAGAAGATGGGCATACATTGTTTAACCGTTGAGAAGACCTTAGAAGACTTGAACTTCGTTGATGATTTATGTCTAATATCTTGTCGTACAAACTCGAAGATTTACAGGCAAAACCAACAAGTCGACAGAAAAGGCAGAGCAATGCAGCAAAGACGGGACTTCATCCAGGATGCGCATCCTGGATTCCACTGCTAGCCACTGCCCATCATTACTAAACATAGTTAAAAGACAGACAATATCGAGGCATCAGCATAGGAGCCCATATGCCAACAGAGACCGATCAATTCGGTCCAATCTACGACGGTGTAATACAAGCAATAACACAAATTATCATTCCTCATAATCATATCAATGTGGTCACACTACTTTCGACATCTGATATGCATAGTCCTGTCACCTGAAATTCTTCGTTTTTATTGGTAGTAAAATTTTCCATATCTCTGATGGTATGTGTCACGTCATTCCTGTTACATATGTTAGGTGTTGGTTCGACAAAAAAGAGATTCAGTAATCAATCTCTCTCTCCATCTAATTGTAATGAATTTAAGTAAAGTGGTTTTATCCGACCCTATCGTATGGTTGTGTGTTAATGCATCCATTGCAATAACCGAGTTTGTTCTAGAATTATTCACCCTGTTAAGGTCTGTCATTCTATATTTAGCTAAATTCCTATGTTTCTCTAATCTAACTGACCCCGACCGGCTAGTTTGACTTATGTACTTACATTCATCTCCCATTTGTCTTTTGCATTGTACTAATTGTATACAAGTTAAATTGATTCAATCCGAATATATTTACAAAAAAAAATATATTTCTTTTGAATGGAAAATACTTTTAATTTCAGTTACAACAATTTTTCTTGGCAATTTTGGGATACTAACCTTGGACAAGTTACCTGAAGGAGATTTCAAAACAGCTATTACAATTCCGATTTGGATATTTGTTGCCTTAATGGCAGTGATCAGTATTATAATTTGTGTGATATTAGCTAAACAACCAGAAAATCAAACACCTGTATCCTTTAAGGTAAATTGTTTTTGTTTTCCTTTAGTCTGATGTGTTTTGGATAGTTGAGAAATATTGCACAAAAATATACAAGATGCTTATGGAATACGTTAATTTACGTGTTATTCTTACTTGTTTATTATGAACTCTAAATAAGCGGGTACCACTCTAGGTTCTGCTTTGAAAAGTATCATTTTTTTAGTTCGTTTGCGTTTACTTCAGAAAAAGTATTATCTTCAGTGAGTTAAGTATAAAAGTCAGCTGTACTTTCTGAGACACGCAGTATATGAACTAGTCGTTCTTATGTTTTTCTTAAAAGGCTATATGGTTATTGATACGACTCAATCAATTGCTCAGGTTAAGTGGTGGGGAACATTTGTAGCTCATGTAGATAGTCTTGGTTGTATTGTGTTCTCTGAGCTGGGTTGTTTAATCATGAAGCTTTCATCGCCTTTTTAGGTGACATCATCAGGACTGACTTCAGCGTAAAGTAAACTGTCAATATCTCTCCGTAAGTGATTCAGTAGCTTGCCCTGACCAACTGGTTCGTGACTGGTTGTTTCCTTTGATTGCTGCGTCATTGACTAACTGCATAAATTCCCCTGTTGGTTGTCCTTCTGCTTGACCTCTGACCTTTCTGTCGTTTGTCATTCTTCTTATTGGTTGATAGATTGGGTCTATGTCTATGAATCCATTGATTACTAACATACATGAATGCCAAACTTCTAGGAATCCTCTGATATTCTATGTCTCCACTGTCCAAGATTTCTACATTGTCAAAATTGAATTCATGTCCATAATTATCCTCGTGCATTGAAATGAGTGATGAAATGTCGTAACATTGGTGTCCATACAAACGAATGCGAAGAGAGTGACCACTTTGTTCAACATAGTGTTGAGCACAATTATTGCAGTTAATTTTGTAAATGAGATTTGGTTTGTCTTCTTTGACTTTTGCATCCTTTAGTCTGCATAATAGGGTCTGGAGCGAATTTTTTGGTTTATGAGCCATACCAATTCCAAGTGGTCTCGGTAATCTTGTCGTGATTTCTCATACATTATTTAAGTACGGTAAGATTATGTGTTTTTTGACTTCTGTCGATTACTTTGTAGTTGATGATGTACAGGATAGGCATATCCTGATAAAATTTCGCGGCTAGCCATTTTTCTTTAGGATAGACATCAAGTAATTTTCTTTGTTTCTCCATGAGGTTGTTGCACTGTAGTGTTTCCTCACTATTTCGAATATAGTCTGCATGTAACTAGTTTTTTGCGTTGTTGGGTTGTTGCTACTGTAGTTGAGGATCTGATCAGTGTGTTGGCTTCCTGTACACGTGGGTTTCCAGCTTTCTCGCATTTGTTCTACTGACTAAAACATTCAATAATGATAGTTGGTTGTTTGACTCCTCCATTGTGAGTTTGATGTCATTAAAAACGTTTTTGATCAAACTGTGAGTGCTTTCTATATAATCTTTTCTGATGAGGCCAAAAGTATTGTCCACATAGCAAATTACAGGCAGAATGATGGCTTCCAGTCTCTGCACCACTGCTTCTGCAATTAGTTTGGATATCTGTGATCCCACCGGAGTTCCTTTCATTTGTCTGTATATCTTGCTATTGAATTGGAAGTATTTTGTCATACAAAGGTCGATGAGTCCCATCAGACTTGAACATTTAAGTTTTGTGCATTCTGAAAGGCTTGTGTCTTCAATGAGCAGGAGGGACATAGTTTACTTGGCTAGTTGGAGCTCGACAGTTGTGCATAATCCTGCGACACCAAAGAATACCATTAATCCGTCGTTTTCTATGTTAATGCTTTTAGTCTTCTCTAAGAATCCTGTTGGTGGTTTGATGGAATGTCCGCATGATTGAACAACGTGTTTCAGTTTTATCGAAAGCTTTTTTGAAATGTTGTTCATTGGAGTTCACGGGAGTGAGACTATTGGTCTTAGAGGGATGTCTGGTTCGTGTAGTTTTGGTCTACTGCAGAACCGAGGAAGTACATGTTCATTCGATTTCATTTGTTTGTCTCGCTTTGTTATTTTTCTGTTTTGAGTAGTTTGTTCAAGTTTTCATTGATCTGGTTGTTGAACTTTTGGATAGGGTTGGTTTCATGTTTTTGATATACATTTTGGTCTTAGAGTAAAGCCCTCTTGATGTAGTCTTCTTTGTACAAGAATACCGTAGTGCGTCCTTTCTCTTCTGGGAATATAACGATATCTTTCCTATTTTTCAGTCTTATTAATGTTTTCTGTTCTTCAGTGTTTGTTTGTGAGTGATATCTCTTCGGTCTGGTCAGTGGTACGATTGTTTACCACATTTCTTATTGAGTGACCTCATTTAATCCTGATGTTTTGAGCTACGATTCTAATGCAGCAAAAAATTCTGGTTTGGAGATATTTCTTTTGTTGTAATCCACTCCTTTCTGAAAAAGTTCTTCCTTTTTGGTTAGTGGTTGTTTTGATAAGTTGGCAACACAGTTGTTTGTTTCCTCGGTTGTAGGTGCTTCTGAAATTTTGAGCAGCTTTTTCATGAGGGTTTTTCTTCTTTGTTCATGTTCAGGTTGAATTTATATAACAAAATAGACTGTGTTTCATCCTTCGATTCGCCTCACTACGAATATCCAAACTAATTGATGGAAGTAACCAAATCAAAACAGGTTGTTTGTTTTTATACGCTGAGTTTGAGGTCCGTGATCAATACACTTCGAAACAACAATGTATACTGTACAGATCTTGTGACAGTAATATTACACATCTATATTAGTGTAGTTTATTCATAATCAAACTGTAATTCGTTTATATGTGAGCACACACGAACTCACTATAAACTACAAAAGCTTATTTGTGACTGATCTGAAGGATATTTATAATAGGTTGTAATTTCAGTTACAACAATTTTTCTTGGCAATTTTGATTGATTGAGTCATCTGTGAATTTATAAACAGGAGTGACAGTTAAGGAATCACGTTACATTAGGAATCAATTGAAGTGATAATCATCTGTCGCTGGAATGGGACTTATCGACCTGTACAGCTAAAACGTCTATAGTGGACAACTTCCTAATACTTATTTTAATGGAAATCGACCTCTGAGATATGCTATAATTGTGCTTATCAAAGCGACTTATTTCCTAGCAACATTGTGATTCGTGAGCGCATTTCATAATCTCTTGTCTACAGGTCCCCGGAGTCCCATGGATACCAGCATTGAGTATCTTTATCAATGTATATCTTATGGTCAAGTTATCCGGTGGCACATGGGTTCGATTCCTTGTCTGGATGGTAATTGGTAAGAATATCTGTTCAATACTTTATTTATTATTATAATGTCTGCTTAAACGCATCATTTCTAAGAGGGAAGAAACTCAAAGCTCCGCTAAATTAGGTTACTGACACTATATATTTTTTCATTAGGAAGGTGAAAATACTTGAGTCGATACATTCCTACATACTTTCTAGCTATTTCGTACAGTCAAATATCGAAATCACACAAAGTCGTTGGTGTCCTTCTTTCAAAATTCTATCCTGTTGATTTAATGTTTTGGTAATCATTTTTTTCGCTGTTTGACTTCCGATATTTTAACTTACCGTCTAGATTTGAGTTTCATTTTTCTAAGTTCTATAGATAATAAGTTACTTTTGTATGAATTTAAATGAAACGTTGCTATAGGAACTGGGTATCTTATTTTAATTTGCTGTTATTCGGTATATTTATCAAAGAAGTGTTGAAGAAAGTTGACGGATTTTATAGGTATTTGCTTCACTGACTAGGTATCCATAATAATCTAATTAAAGACTGCAACTTCTTGCTCAAAAAATCTGTTAACCTTAGGAATTCATGAGTTAATTCTGCAAAATGTAAATTGTAAGTATGTGATAGGAGAGTTGTAATAAGTCATCCAAATCTCGAACCACTTTTTATTATTGATAAGAAATCATCATTTTGATACCCGTTTTAAACTGGAACTGGCTGTTTTACACTTAACAGACGGGCTTATTTGTAGGAAACCCATGCAAATTTTGATGTGTTCGCTTAGCGTTTCAGTCATAATCTTTCCATTAAAGTCACCTGGATCACAATCAAACATGTAAAACTGGATTAGTCGAATTACTATATGCTAAGATCTTCGAACATCAACAAATACTTGCCTGATGAGTACAATGACTATGTAATTCAGTATCTTCGTAGTATATATTAACTCAGCGCTTTTGTAAAACTGGGAATTATAAAAAAGTAGTAACTTAATCCGTACCTAATTCACTCCTCAGACAGTTTATTTTCTGAAAGTCAATTAAAACTAAGAGGCGTGAAACACCATTTTATCTTCTTAGATCTAACTTTTAAAAAAATTAAATCAATCAATTCTATATAATCCGAGTATGTTTTACCTGCAATCAACATAATCCTTAAGTAAACCCAGTTTTTAAAAATAATTTCAAGTTGGTTTTCTACGGCATGAAGAGGTTGACAAGTTTATTTATCTTAAGAAATAAGTCAGCTGAACAAAGAAAGTCGAAGCAAAGGAAATGGCTGATTTAGTAAAATTAGTTCACCATAGAGTTAGCTGAAAGAAATTTTGTAGAACACTGAAACAGCTATAATGACATAACCTTTTAAGCTTATTTTCTGCAGATAATTTTGGTTCGAAATTGTAGTAACTTCTAGTTTAAACTCTAAAAAAAACGTACCCATTCGATTAATGTATGTGAACTGCTGTGGCTTTATTAAGATATCATTCAACAGTTGGTAAATAACTTTGTAAAAAGCAGCAATCTGAACGAAGGATATTATTTTCAGTAAGTCCTCCTCAGGTCCTGCAATTATGAAATGTATTTTTACAATGCAAGATCAAGCCAAGCTAGTATAAAAACATTTTCAAAATGGAATGGACTGTAAGGAACTCACTTTTTATCCTTTAAATTTATAAGTAGTTGGATGACATTTATACAGGGGAATAATGTGATGGTAAATGAAAAGTCAAAAAATAACGAAGAGATGAGTGGCCTTCAGTTTACTGACATCTTATCATACCTCCTAGCAAGAGTAGTCAATAAGACGTTTAATGCAGGTTGGCTTCGCATGTCATTCGATAGTTGACCAATGCTCAATCCAGGATTAAAGGATAACCTACTGAATCTTAGTTCTTCATCCTGCGTAAATCAGTTTAACTGTTCCTTTGAAACAAATTACATAGGACATGCGATTAGGCAAGTGCGAATCCGGATACAAGAGCATTTACCAGCTTGTTTCGGAAAGGGAGAAGTGAAAGTGGTGAGAAGCTTTATCTTATCTCACCTAGTAGATAAAATAGTTGCTCCAAAAACAATACTTCTTGTAGCTTACTAACACCTGTTCAACGTAGCTGAAGCTGTCGCCATAAGGTTAATCACACCTGGACTGTGCATTCAGAAGGATCATGTTCAAACGTTATTTCTCCCTTGGCCTTCAATAAACTAAAGATTGCTCTTGTCTCCTTTATTCGCTTGTCTTTTGATTCACCACCACGTTATTCATCTGTATATATGTCATCCAAATACTGACAAATTTAAAGCAGAAAAGTTTATTTCCTTACAGTCCCTAACTCTCATTCCACTTTGAAAGTCTATTTGCATTTTATAATTGTAGAACTTGATGAGAATTTATTGACAGTATCCACCGTCTAGATTGCTGCCTGTTATTAATGTTATTGGAATCTTCGGATATTTGAAATAACTTTGTCCTTAATATTTTCCAGTGATAAAAAGGAAATATTTCATTGAAATATAGCGGTAGAAGTGCATCTTTTATCCTGTACTAAGGAAAAGATTAGATGACATTTTCTGTCGTTTTAATATACATCTGTAAGCATTTCTAGATAATAGTAAGTCAGCAACGACCTAAGTAGCTGAGTAATACTGCCTTTAACAGCAAAATTCAATGTTATTGTATCACTTATGTAGTTAAGCAGGCATTTATTCGAGTTTATCAAGATACTAAATACTCATAACTGTAAAGAAACTGGGTCTGAAAGTTAATAATGCTAATGAACTCTCATCTTACAGAGTTTTATCTAGCATGTTGGAGTAATAAATATCTATACAAGTATTAGTCCTACCTTTATTACTGCATGATAAACGCTTCGTTCAGTTTAGTGACTACAATGAAACAATGATGAAACTATAATTAGGGTAGCGTGCACAAAATATTTAAAAGTACTTTTCCACTCCTATCACCTTATAAACTGGTGAGCAACGAGTTCAACTAAGAACATTTCACAAAACTATCCAGGTTATTATTTGTACTCATGAGTTTTATCCTGTTCCAATCATGAACCAACTAGCAACTAAGTTGTGGTTTCAACTCAAAACTATTATCATAATAGTAATCATTGTAACCAGATCGTGATAAACTGTAGTCTCGCACTCATGTAAAACAACTCATGACCCAAATATCTCCTAAACTGAATTCAGCATGTTATTGTAAAGTGGTCAGCTAAAACACTGAATAACAATCAACGAAAATATACTACTCAGTTTATTCAGTAGTATATTTCGTTAGTTCATGTCACTTATGCGTCAGAGATCATACCTTTTGATCTTGCCTAAGGGATGGTTTCCAACAGAAACTCTGTTGACAACACAGTTAGACAGTTGGAAAACTACTCAGCTGCAAGAAAAATCGTTGTGGAGCGTGCGATTCGTAAATCATCTGCGAATTGATCATCCTATTTTAACAGTCTACCGCTTATATGTAATCAACCTCTAGGTAATTCAGTTTTTAAGCTGCCATAAATATTTACTTATGGTATTTTTGAATATTTAAGCCTCATTAAAAATCAAATGAGAGCCATAAACATAAACTAGCTTATTTTTTATGAGAGTATTAGCTGCATGATCTGACAGTCGTACGTTTGATCCGAAGATTAAAAAAAGTGCTCATTCTCTAAAATCTCACAAATTAGGATGTAACAACTATGCACTATTCAGTTCTTTGGAAAGCATCCACTTGGAATTATAAGGTGTCATTACATTAACTGAATCCACTAAGACTAGAGGAATGAATTTTATACAACAATGATGGGTCATTGCATTCTCAGATTTATTGTTATAATACATCAGAAAGCCAGAAAATGAGTATATTCCTGTACATTCCTGCGATATACACAGATAATTGCTGAGGAGCCCCATACTAGGACAAAACAGCTTTTCAGTGCCTCCAGGTTTCTAATGTTCCTCTAACTTATGTCAGTCCATGATGATTTCCGACCTTAAATCAATATATCAATAATTGGTCAGTGTTTATTTACATTTTCATCTAATCTATCTATGGACAAGCTAATTATGGCTGTAAAAATTTAAACTTTTAGTATTCTCTTTGATACATGGAAAATCAACATACTCCACTTTGTTTACTGTTCGCTTACCTTCTAATTCAGTACCCATTGAAAGCTGGGCACTTTAAACCAAGTTTCACATTTTCTGTACTTTATCACATTCAGTTCACATTAGCTTACTTGAATGTAGTTTTTTTTAAATATTTTATATCAGCAAGAAAATCTATCTAATTCAATCCCTGTAGCCAATATAGTGCAACAAAATCAGAATCTTTAAACTTTCTGGCAGAGATTGCTGTTGAACTATTATTGACCTCGACTATCTGCTTAAAATATAGGCTACCGTAAAGTTTCCATCATATATTACATCACATTACTCCCTTTTTACTTGTTTAAATTATTTAACTGTCAACTTTTTGTAAAATATACTCTCGCGCACTCTTAAAATGTCTCCGACTTATCGTCACATAAGTTAACAACAAAACTGCAAACATGTATGACGGTAGACGGCATTGGGGTTTGAGTTCACAACAGTTCATCACATAAGTATTACAAGGATGGTTGGCGGGAACTGTAAATTTTACGCTGACTGAATAATCCCCGATCACCAAACCTACGGGCGCTTTTCTGTTCTTCCCCTCGTGCAACAACATACCTACAAACTTGAGGATAACCTAAAAATAATTGGTCGTAGTGTGCTGTTGCCTATCATACTGCTACTATTAACGCTAGTTAACTGAGATGATTATTTAATTTGAAAATACTGTACAAGGAGTAAATCTGTAAATATCACACTGAGTATTTCTTACTGTATTAAAAGCTACTATCTGAAATAATATGATTGTTATTATTGTTCAGTTCCCACAGTTTTACATTTTTCAACATCACTGGATTTGTAATCTACAATTACTCGTCTCCTTACTGACCTTGAGAGATTGAAATTCACGGGTGCTAATAACAAAAACAGCGGATTATCTGATCGGTTACTTCGGTATTAAGGCCAAACGTAAAGATTAGGGCAATGTTGTTTTACTAACTTTAGTATTATGTCTTTGGTGTTCTTCAGATGTTTGGACAAACTCATTTGACCTTAGAAAAGAGTAGACATGTGCAACAAAGAAAAAGATTTCTCTTCGAAAAACTCATTTTCTTAGCTGTATATTTGTGAATATACAATGGAAAGGATAAGACACTCCAAAGTAATTTCCAGTCAAATATCCAAATAAATTCCATGACAGGAAATTTATGTACTATATATGGCCATTTAAAAATACCTGGTAAAAAACTGACTACAAAATAGGGCGGAACTACATCATAAGGGAGTGAACAAACAGTGACGTTATACATCCTTCTTCTGAACGAGCAATGGTGTTCTGGACTTCCGAATTGCTAATGTATCAACTGAGGTGTCTTAACATCATCGCTTTTAAATAGCTTGGTCGCACTTATGTCAGTTTAAAGAGTTATTCAAGTGTTAGTTGAATGGAGACAATCTGCAGGAGGCCCTGGACCTGCATTTTATACTTGTCGGCACTCTTCAGAAAGGCGCATCTGCAACCTCGACGGAACTGATATCCCGCTTTCATCTAACTAACATCCGTCAGTGTGTCCCGATGTTGAGCTGCCCAGCCCGATGGCCACATTGCAAAATGGTTGAAAGAATTCGATCAGCACTTAGGACTAGACAACGTGAAGTTGGCTACCTTCCCGTGGCCAATCATGTGTTCGAAGTTTACCAAGTGTTCTGTAGAAAAGTTGAAAGTTCATTTCCGTTCCACCTTGTTTGACCAGGCAGAATAGTGTTCACAAGCACATGTCAAAAACTGGTACACGGTGCGGCCGAAGTGCTCAGCTCCACAGGATCAAGCAGACTGATACACGTATTAATGTGTCCCACTACTCCAGCTCGTCCTATATGCGCTGGAAAATTGTTTTTAACGGCAGAATATGATTCCGAAACTGGCGGTAAAACATGTTATGTTTTTGGATCTTGATAATCACTTCCTAGAGATATCTCCCATAGTATCCTAATTGAATTTGTGGTTCACTAGCGAAATGTTTTTTGGAATAAAATTTGAGCATTTCACGACACGTTTTGGCTTCAACTTACCAAGAAATTTCAGTACGTATCCACTTTTTATCAGAATTTCTGGCTAGTTCTTTAATTCACCATCAGAGGTATCCTTTGTATTTATTTTTTGTCATTGATAAGATTCCTCTTTCTGCTTAAGCAGACACAAATTTGAGAATGGATAAACTGCCTGTTTCAAGTGAGCTTTACGCGGACAGATTTCTAGACTGAATTACCCATCATCTTTTCTTTGGGGCTGATATCGAAGAAATAGAACTTTGAGTTCGACTCTGCTGCTGGAGAGTTGAGCACTTTTGAAAGTATGAAACAGATCTTAGAGATTCCTATTCTCGTTACAAATAATAAGGATATCATCCGTGTATCTTTTGTAGGTGTTAAGGTTGCTGATTATTTTGACGAAGTTGCGTTTTCCAGGCTTACCATGAACCAGTCACCTAAGGGTCCTGGAAGTGATACCATAGCAACTGAAGAGATTGGGTGATAGTCGACCTTTGTCCTAAGTTGACAGAAGTTGGAAACTGTGAACCACTGAACTCCAACCTAGTGGCTGAATGGCTAGCGTGTTCGCCGTGAAACCTGAATGTCTTGGGTTCGGTCCGCAGCCTGGTCGTGGGTGTGTACTACTGAGGAGTCCCATACTAGGACGAAACAGCTGTCCAGTCCTCCTAGATTTTCAGTGATTCTCCTACTGATATTAGTCAGTGATGAATACTAACTCAATATAAAAACCCTTGTTAACCTGAAAAACTGAATACCTCACTAATTTTGTTCACTACTAACCTCTAAGTAATTAAAAACTGTGGTTACACAAACCTTTTCACACTGATATGTGTATTCACTTTCAAAAAAGTTATATGGTTACACTGAAAGTCTACTTTGTTTGACTTAAAATCATACATACATCAACAACTCCATTCATTGAACTGACCTAAGTAAAAGCTGATTTTTTACCAATTTATGGAATTAAATGTGGATCTCTGTTAAATGTAGATTAAAATATGATTCTGTTAAAGAATTTGTTCAGCTGTATTTTACGAAACCACTTATTTTCTGAAGCCAGTAAATTAACTTATCAAGTTAATTTTTTTTCTCGAGTTTAACAGAAATTCAGATGGTAACATTCATACGTCATAGGTATAAACAGCATATGATAAGTTGAATGAATTGATGCTAATTTATACGGTGTATGATTTGAGTGCAAAAAGTGGATTTCACTAGTGTATATATCTATATTCAATAAAATATAAAACAAATGGCATAGCATAATTCAACATTTGAAATCATAACTTTCTAAGATGTAAAGCAGCCGTCAAAATGAGAAGGGTTGAGTAGTATTTTGCACTGTATCCATTATAATGCTGATAACCATAGATGACAACTTATTCTTTTCAGAATAGTCAGCTTACCTTTTCAACTACTTCCTTGACCATTTTCGGCATCACGTATTTTTATTCCCTTAGAATTTTCAGCACATGTCCCATATAGTTTTCTTGATTAGGTCCAATCAACGATGAAGACTTACAGGCTATAACATTGATAACTATACTATGCTCTTCGTACAAGGAGTGACCTTCGTGATTCTATGACCTAGTAAATAACCGTCTAGCGTTTGGAGCGATTGGTCACGGATTGGATTCTTAATGGGAACAACATCAGTCACTAGGAGGCAGGTATATTCGGCTGCCGAATCGCACTTAGGACGAAACGCGTGTCTGAGATTCCACTACTAGTCACTCACTTACCTTGTATGCTACGCAAAACGTTTCTTACTCTAAACTCACCTTGATCATAGATTCTCTGTTCTTTTTGCCAAAGTTGGTTTTAAGAAAATTTTATTTTCCTTTATTATTTTTCTTATTCCTATATTCCCTTTCATCATATTTGTTTTACTGGAACTTCTATTTCTATTCTTTGCATTGAGTCTCTTGACAGACAAGTGTATGGTGAGATTGCTAATAATGTATGGTTGAAAAAATCACTGTTTCAGCGTAAACTTTATCTTCTGATTACGTTGTCACTAGTTATAGAATGAATTGATCGTTTCAAATTCCTTGAGGTTTTTAACAAGCTCACCACAATGGCTGAGCATGAGCAACATATATTCAGGCCACCTCAGTTGGTGAAGGTTCACTTCCTCATGGAATGACTTGCCTATCTTCGCTGTTGACGTTCGCTTAACCTCGACAGTGCTTACAAGACTATACCACCAAAAGGCATACATTGCATTGGCTTTGTACTATTTGTGTTATCAGTGTTCATATTTATACTTGAAAATATCTAGAAAGTAAATGAGCAAGAAAAGAAAAATATTCAACTATAGCTAGTGTGTGCAGTTTTCTATGAACTTTTCTTCCAAGTTTAATTTGGTATTGAATGACATCGTAGTTTCTAGTAATTCCTTGATATAAAATAATGATGATGACTAATATAAACTGAATAAAACTGTAGTTTGGGTTCTTTCATCGCTTGATCCTTGAAATCAAATCTTATCATTGTTACTACTCATTCTTCTATAATCTCAGTAATGGCTTGTGAAGTTTCAGATAGATATCAACCATGAACATTTGTTATCATGATGAATAAAGTATTCCAAAACGAAGGTCTCAAACATTCTTTGAAGCATTTATCCTCCCCCCCCCACTTTATAAATTTCTATCAACTGATACAGTGGAAATATGCTTTGTTTATACGCATTCACTGGAGCAATGTTGAGGTAAGATGAAGGGTACTAGACAAGACAACCAAGTGGATTGACGTGATTGTGAACCTTAACTTACTGAGGTGTCTTGGACATGGACTGTATATGCCCAACCACTGCTTATCTCGACTTCCCATGCTAGAAGAAGTTGGACTACATTGGAAGAGAGTTCAGGGTGACCAAACCAGGACTTGATGCTATTCGATGAAGTCTCTGACTGTTGTTCGCACTCATGTGGGACGATACAGACTGCTTGCTTGCGGACCGTGAGACAAAAAAAATCAGTGGTTGGGAACTGTTCGTTTCATGACTGAATGTTGATCACAATGGCGCAGTTGTATTCACTTTTTGACGTCTTAAGTTTGAATATTCTCACTAACCGTTATCTTCAGATTGTCTCTTTTCTCACACCACTTTATCTACTTTGATATCACTCTTTTTCTATCCACCTGTTCTTTACATACTAGGGTGAAGCATGACAACTTGAGCCGATGCACTTGTGTGCGAGGTTCTTAGTCAAATCTATCTGTCTTTGTCCATCCGTGTCTGTCTACCTATATGTTTCAGTCGTTTAATTGACCAATTGTGTTATATGCATTTTCTGACAATTTTAAATAGGTTTTCTAATCTACTTTGGCTATGGCTATTGGAAGAGCTCTGAGCGCAAAATCAGAAAGCCAAAAGTGTGAGTATTTACTGATTTTTATTTCACCACATACAGTTATTTATAAAAGATTGTAATGCATTTAAATAATCAGAGAAATACAAATGTTATTTTGGCTACAGTGGAACCTGCCTTTGCTTCAAGATGAACTTTCTGTTGAATTCCATGGAATCGAAGTTGTTTATTGTTTCATTGTAACAGTATTTAAACCAACGTTATCTAAATGTCTAACCCTACTCTGTGCAAAAAATGAATTGTGAGAGTCAAGTAGTAAACAGATCTGTTAAACATGTTCTTTTTATGCAAAACTTTTTCGGATTGTAAACATTAATCTCATAAAATTAATCTCTGAATGAAATCCAACCACTGAAGTAAGTAGTATGATATTATTAGGTAATTGCAACTTCCCCGCTCTTCTGCATCATCCCAATGGGGTACGCATTTATCATCATTAATACAGGCAGTAAACAGTTGAAAGCAGAAGAAAAGTTTTAAGACAAGGAGACAGTAAATGTGAGCTGACATAAAACAGTAGACTCAGTGACTAGCGTTCATAATTCGATTTAGCTTGTTGTCGAATTTATTAACCGTCGTATTGTGGTTCCCGTTTGTTCCGTGTATGTACAAGAAATCTAGCTTGAAAATTCATTGACCGACGATAGATTCTTTATGTATCTTTTTATCAATCCGTTCCTCTACATTGAACATTTAATTGCATATAATACATATTATCTGCCCCGTTTAGTGTTTTTTTTATCCATATATAATTTTAGACAAGTGAGTTAACAAGTAGACTTGAACAAATTCACCACCACACTGAAGCGTTTATACTGAATAAAAATGAAAACCTTATGTATGAATTGAAACTAGTTCTACACTTTGGATTTCGTTGATAACTCCTATTACTCTCGCCATTTTCTAAAAATCATGTCAACTAGATACACCTTTTTCTGATTACATCTACCTTATTTTATATTCCATATTGTTATTAAAGTCACGTTTGTATAATTTAGAAAATAAGTGTTAAAAAGCCTAAGGCTGTATATTCACTGCATACATATGAAAATATATACATATGTACATAACAAAGAGTTTCTAATTTGAAGCCTCCTTTTTCGTTTCAATACTAATTCTAATTCATCCTTGAAGGCGAGACTCCCTATCAATATCACAACACCTATGCATTTATCTGGATATTATAACGAGTTGTCAACAGTGAGTGTACAGGTGAGTTGCTGTTAGCCATACATAGAACAACTTCTATAAGATTGATGCTGATGGTTAATTCAATGAATACGAAAATGTGAAATACAGAAGAATAGAAAAGAAAATGTATGAACTACTCAGCGAGTACATACAATGTGTTTACGTTTAACAACAAAACCGATCGGTAACAATTATCGATGCAAAAATGAGGTCTGTTGTTCGAGAAATTGGAACTGGAAATGAATTCAGTAAAGTTATGAATGCCTAACTAAATAAACATCAACTTAAAGTTGACAGTCTGTCAGTTCGGCCTTCTCCTTTTAAACATAAGTTTTCAGAGGCGTACGGGTATTACTCACTTGAAAAATGAAAATATGTGGTATGAATTACCTATCCGACTACCACTGCAATGCTTTTTCAGCTTCCAAAAATCACGAATAATCTTATTTGGTGTTTTGGTTACAGAAATTAGTTTTGGTGCACAGATGCTAAGTGTATGTGTTGTCTGGCCAAAATATCACAAGCTAAACGGAACAAACTGCTGTCCGTTTGATTCGAATTAGTTATAAATATGAAGCGTCTAAGAAGTACAAAACAAGATAAGCATATAAACTCATACTCTGCAAAGATAACATTCTTATTCCTTATAGAATTACCTTAATATAGAAACTAGACGTCAATTAAAAACGTATCTTCATATAACGTATTACAAGAATAAGATTTTTTATAAAAGTGTTAAACAACTAGACTGATTAATGAGCTGTCATGTGAATATACGTTAGAAAATAGTTTGACAAAAGTTTTCTCATGTTACTGAAGCTTCATTTGTTAGTTAGTATTAAGAAAGTCCGATTGTTCTGTGTTGTACCTCCTTCTTTTTATGTTTTACGCCAGGCTGTTTATCAGGAACACATTTGTAGCACTGAAATTGGGTCTTGTTTTTCAATATTTTTGAGGGATCATCAAAAACATCACTATATAATTCTCATTTATTTGGCGACAATCGCATATGTTAACCAGGATTATGAATAGCCTGAATGAAAGCGGTAGTATGAACTTCAGTCAACTTACTCAAATTTGTGTTTGAGTGTCAAGTTAAACGAAGAAAAAATGAATTAAGAATACATTATTTTCAGTTTTAACGTGGAAATTTTTAATCATAACAATTACTTCATTTCAAACAAGACGTGTGGTGCAGTATGGAATTCTCAGCATGTAGTAGTTCAACAAATTCACTCACTGTATTATATCCTTAGGCAAAATAACCATTGCATTTGAACATTAAGAGAAGCTCCAATATGAAACAGGTAACTGGTATTACAATAGCATCTGGTTTGAACTGATAAATGACTAGAAAATATGGCGTAATTTTGGTGGTGGTAGTTAATCCAGCCAGTACTCAGATCTTCGATTCTACATAGTTATCCAAGAAATGGTAATGTACTGAATTTCTGTGCGTTTATAAGCCTATTACTTACCAGCGTAAGGTTTTCCTGTTAGCTACAAAAATGGCTCTCTGAAACTATTTTAAAAATGTGCGAGAGTAAGTGGCACATTTAAAAGACTAGAACAAACTGAAAGGAAAGAAATTGATGGAATACATTCAGTGGAATATTTTCGGTAACCCGAAGTTTAAGCAGACCCCTTGAGTTTCCTCTACTTCAAGAGTCATCAACAATGCGTATCGTTTTGTAGCCTAATAATATGTTAAGTCTTTATTCGAGTTAACAACATAAAACGTCACTGAACTTGGACTAATTAAATATCTATAGTTTTTCCAATAGAAAATAGCTTTTCAAAGTCAACTTTTCGGTGTAAAGATGCAGTAATAAATAAAAGTTACTAGAACCTGAATGGAAGAAAGGTCTACACAGTGACTGAAGGCCACTGCGAATTGACAAAGAATGTTATATTATTGAGACAACGGCATTTAATGAAAATCATACAACTCCTTTGGATCGCGAGTGTAATAATATAAATACCGCCAGTATCGACTGATTAAATGTCGATTCTTAGTAAATCCAATCAGGATAATTATCTGTACAGAGTGAGCTACAGCTTGATCGATACTGAGTGTATAGTCATATCCGGAGCTAAATATTTTAAATGGCTATCAGACAACCCCCGAGATCTGAAATACTGTCGTGAATCTAAATAATACACACTAAAGCTTCAGATATTACTTGTTGTGGAAATAGTAAATTATCGGCAGCTTTGTCATCATGGTTATTGTTTGGTTATCAAAAGCGATCTCTCTCGTCCTATCAAACATTACAGCCAACAAGGAAAGATTAAAAGTTTGACTGGAATGATAAAAGTAGGAAATGTTAACCCTTGGATCCCCACCCAGTGACTGGCTGCTGAACCTGGATGAGATCCGCAGCAGGGTCATGGGTATACCCTGCTGAGTGGTCCCATACTGAGATGAAACAGCTGCCTAGTTTTCTCAGGTTGTAAATCTTTCAAGTTGTTATTCATCGTAGACTACCATCAGTTGGAAGAACAAAGAAAACCTGGGAGCACTGGACAGCTGTTTCGTCCAACTGGTGTCATGATCAATACCAACCTGAAATCATTAAATGAAACAGATTTAACAACCACTTAAGTAGTAAAATGACTGAATACACACCACCCTCTAAACTGTTAACAAAAAAACTCTTTACAATCCATCTTGCTGGTCATTATTTTCATCTTGCAGCTATCTGAATTTGATAGTCATTAAGGGATATTTGACAAAACATTTACTACGATAACGGTTAATGTGCACTGAAACCATAACTGCTTTTGAGCTGCTTACAAAAAACTGTAACCTCAACTCATGACAATGAGTAACATTCACTATATTCATTGGTTTTCACAAATTTCACCGATTAATATCTAATCCATTTTATTAACGTACGTCAACTAAATAATCAATAATCTATTCCGATATTGTCACCCAGATGACAACCACGAGCACAGCATACTGAGTTTTCGAATGGCTATCATGATGTCCCCAACAGCATCGAAGACTCTCTCTCTCTGTCTCCCTCTCATGCAGTAGGAACAAATCTCCTCCTCCAGGATCATGACAGCAGGGTTCAACTCAAAAGGAAGGGAGGTCACAATCATACAATGCTATGCTACACTACACTACACTACGCACCTACAAATAATGCAGACACGAGTCAAGAGAAGAAGGAGGAATTCTACATGCAACTGCAATCAATACTGGACAAGACCTCAACCCAGATGAGATTTTGGTGCTTGAAGCGATGGGTATGGGGTTTGTGTCTTAGTGAGAACAACATAACTCACTGTGGTGCAGGTAAACCCTAGCTGACGAGTCCCAAATAGAATGAAACGCGCATCCTGGACTCCTCTAACAGCCACAACTAAATAAGTTATTATTAATACTATCATTCCAGTTTTAGCCACCTTGCTCCCTCACCTCTTATCTCTAATTACCACAAACAACTGACCACTTGGCATAACAATTCGTTCTCTTTCCTTTTCGAGTTAGTTACTGTTACAAAAACTATCAATTATGCAACAACCTGTTTAAAACTTCATGAAACATTTCACCATATAATTGTTCTGTACTATGGCTACAGTTCTAATCACCTTGGTTAATTATTACCCCCTTGATATATTGAAACTGATGACCTATTATGCAATAATTATCTCTCCTAAACTACTTGTAGGTGGTTTAATTTAATTAATTATAATATTTTAGTGTAGAGCCATGGATGAGGAACTAATTGGAAAGAGAAATATTTCTCACTGAAGACGTTTGTTTCCAAAATGTCCGAAGAAGATTTTTGGCATGAATAAAAATAAAACGCTTAGGAAACATATTCTACGCACATGATTTAAAGGTCCATTTCACGTTAGGTGATACAACTGCAAGATTCAAAACCAAATGTAATATACATCATCAATCTCGGCCCAAATAGCTCAGTAGTGAAGTCTCTGACTGCAGCGCTGTGTGACGCAGATCTGAATCTTAGAGGGGACATCACTTCCCTCGTGGTTGCAGATACGCTTTGTTGATAAGTAACCAACACGTAAGAAACCTAGATCCAGGGATTCCTGGTGATCGCCTCCAACCAACTAATATATACACCAACTCTTACATTTACCACCTACGAATGAACCACCAGCCTTCAGATAATCTACCCGGCACTCAATCAACTGAACTGTGGAATACAATCTCTAACCAAGTTTTGGCTTTACTTCAGTCACAATACGTCATCTGTTATGCAAATACGTGATAAGTAGTTGTCCGTTCTTAATGATCCCACTAACTACCCAGACATTTGCGTTATATTTGTAATTGTAAATTAAGCTCATCCTTATGGTTTGATATTAGTTTGGATAGTTTTATGGTCAGGCATAACTGGATATGGGATTCTTGTTTGTTAGACATCCTTCATGACATTAAGTTTCAAACCAAGATTTTCCTTCTTTCTTCTGTGTCAATGTGTGATTATTCCGATGAAGACTAGTGAATTCTTCAGATTACTTGGAGGTTACATCATTCTTGCATAGGACAAAAGTAATTTTCTCCTCTGCACTTCAACAGTATCCTTTTACCAGAATATAATTTAACATTTGTTGACTGAAATGCTCACATTTATGTATATATTCCCGAAAAAAACGTATTTAAATGCGCATTTTGTTTTGAAGAAAAATGTGAAAAGAATTCTTCATAGTTTTCAACTTCTTTCTACACCACTCTCTCCAGCTAGTTAGCCTGATATCACGTTATATGTATATACATTCGTGTTAAAGAAGATATGAATCGCAGTTTGCTTGTCGTACAATTCCACAAACAAGTAGAAGTTAGCGAAATAACATGAGATCTATTACAAGGTTCTGTCTTTCATTTCGGTTTG